AGATAATTCATGCTGGCATACATATTAAAATTTAAAAAAAAACACTCCTTTGAAGAACAACTGAAAAAGAATGCCATTTTAAACTATAAGCTTCATTTTAGGAGAGTTGTAGATTTACAGAAAAGTTATAAGGACATTAAAGAGGGTCTAATATATTCTGGTTGTTAACACTCATCATACGATATGTCTATGATAAGTAATGAGCCAATATCGATACATCATTATTCACTGAAATTCACATCTTATTAGTTTTCTTAGTTTTTACATAATGTACTTGAATCAAATCCAAGATGCCATATATCTTAGGCTTGACAGCTGCTCAAATTTTTCTTCTTTTCGATGAACTTAACAGTTTTTTTTTAATTTTTTATTGTTGGTTGTTCAAAACATTACATAGTTCTTGATATATCATATTTCACACTTTGATTCAAGCGGGTTATGAACTCCCATTTTTACCCCATATACGGATTGCAGAATCACATCAGTTACACATCCATTGATTTACATATTGCCATACTAGTGTCTGTTGTGTTCTGCTGCCTTTCCTATCCTCTACTATCCCCCCTCCCCTCCCCTCCCCTCCCCTCTTCTCTCTCTGCCCCCTCTACTGTCATTCATTTGTCCCCCTTGTATTATTTTTCCCTTTCCCCTCACTTCCTCTTGTATGTACTTTTGTATAACCCTGAGGGTCTCCTTCCATTTCCATGCAATTTCCCTTCTCTCTCCCTTTCCCTCCCACCTCTCATCTCTGTTTAATGTTAATCTTCTTCTCATGCTCTTCGACCCTACTCTGTTCTTAGTTACTCTCTTTATATCAAAGAATACATTTGGCATTTGTTTTTTAGGGATTGGCTAGCTTCACTTAGCATAATCTGCTCTAATACCATCCATTTCCCTGCAAATTCTATGATTTTGTCATTTTTTAATGCAGAGTAATACTCCATTGTGTATAAATGCCACATTTTTTTATCCATTCGTCTATTGAAGGGCATCTAGGTTGGTTCCACAGTCTTGCTATTGTGAATTGTGCTGCTATGAACATCGATGTAGCAGCGTCCCTGTAGCATGCTCTTTTTAGGTCTTTAGGGAATAGACCAAGAAGGGGAATAACTGGGTCAAATGGTGGCTCCATTCCCAGCTTTCCAAGAAATCTCCATACTGCTTTCCAAATTGGCTGCACCAATTTGCAGTCCCACCAGCAATGTACAAGTGTACCCTTTTCCCCACATCCTCGCCAGCACTTGTTGTTGTTTGACTTCATAATGGCTGCCAATCTTACTGGAGTGAGATGGTATCTTAGGGTGGTTTTGATTTACATTTCTCTGACTGCTAGAGATGGTGAGCATTTTTTCATGTACTTGTTGATTGATTGTATGTCCTCCTCTGTGAAGTGTCTGTTCAGGTCCTTGGCCCATTTGTTGATTGGGTTGTTTGTTCTATTATTGTCTAATTTTTTGAGTTCTTTGTATACTCTGGATATTAGGGCTCTATCTGAAGTGTGAGGAGTAAAGATTTGTTCCCAGGATGTAGGCTCCCTATTTACCTCTCTTATTGTTTCTTTTGCTGAGAAAAAACTTTTTAGTTTGAGTAAGTCCCATTTCTTGATTCTAGTTATTAACTTTTGTGCTATGGGTGTCCTATTGAGGAATTTGGAGCCCAACCCCACAGTATGTAGATCGTAGCCAACTTTTTCTTCTATCAGACGCCATGTCTCTGATTTGATATCAAGCTCCTTGATCCATTTTGAATTAACTTTTGTGCATGGCGAGAGAAAGGGATTCAGTTTCATTTTGTTGCATATGGATTTCCAGTTTTCCCAGCACCATTTGTTGAAGATGTTATCCTTCCTCCATTGCATGCTTTTAGCCCCTTTATCAAATATAAGATAGTTGTAGTTTTTTGGATTGGTTTCTGTGTCCTCTATTCTGTACCATTGGTCCACCCGCCTGTTTTGGTACCAGTACCATGCTGTTTTTGTTACTATTGCTCTGTAGTATAGTTTGAAGTCTGGTATCGCTATACCGCCTGATTCACACTTCCTGCTTAGCATTGTTTTTGCTATTCTGGGTCTTTTATTTTTCCATATGAATTTCATGATTGCTTTCTCTATTTCTACAAGAAATGCCGTTGGGATTTTGATTGGCATTGCATTAAACCTATAGAGAACTTTTGGTAATATCACCATTTTGATGATGTTAGTTCTGCCTATCCATGAACAGGGTATATTTTTCCATCTTCTAAGATCTTCTTCTATTTCTCTCTTTAGGGTTCTGTAGTTTTCATTGTATAAGTCTTTCACCTCTTTTGTTAGGTTGATTCCCAAGTATTTTACTTTTTTTGAAGATATTGTGAATGGAGTGGTTGTCCTCATTTCCATTTCAGAGGGTTTGTCGCTGATATACATGAATGCCTTTGATTTATGAATGTTGATTTTATATCCTGCCACTTTGCTGAATTCATTTATTAGCTCTAATAGTTTCTTTGTAGAGCCTTTTGGGTCTGCTAGGTATAGAATCATGTCTTCTGCAAATAGTGATAATTTAAGTTTTTCTTTTCCTATTTTGATGCCTTTAATTTCTTTCGTCTGTCTAATTGCTCTGGCCAGTGTTTCGAGAACTATGTTGAACAGAAGTGGTGAGAGAGGGCATCCCTGTCTTGTTCCAGATTTTAGAGGGAATGCCTTCAATTTTTCTCCATTCAGAATGATGCTAGCCTGAGGCTTAGCATAGATTGCTTTTACAATATTGAGGTATGTTCCTGTTATCCCTAGTTTTTCTAGAGTTTTGAACATAAAGGGATGCTGTACTTTGTCGAATGCTTTTTCCGCATCTATCGAGATGATCATATGGTTCTTATTTTTAAGTCTATTGATGTGGTGAATAACATTTATTGATTTCCATATATTGAACCAGCCTTGCATCCCAGGGATGAATCCTACTTGATCATGGTGCACAATTTTTTTGATATGTTTTTGTATCCGATTCGCCAGAATTTTATTGAGGATTTTTGCATCTAGGTTCATTAGAGATATTGGTCTGTAGTTTTCTTTCTTTGAAGTGTCTTTGTCTGGTTTAGGTATCAGGGTGATGTTGGCCTCGTAGAATGAATTTGGAAGTTCTCCCTCTTTTTCTATTTCCCGAAGTAGCTTGAAAAGTATTGGTATTAGTTCCTCTTTAAAGGTTTTGTAAAACTCTGCTGTATACCCATCCGGTCCTGGGCTTTTCTTAGTTGGTAGTCTTTTGATGGTTTCTTCTATTTCCTCAATTGATATTGGTCTGTTTAGGTTGTCTATATCTTCCTGACTCAATCGGGGCAGATCATATGACTTAAGAAATTTATCTATGCCTTCACTATCTTCTAATTTATTGGAGTATAAGGATTCAAAATAATTTTTGATTATCTTCTGTATATTTGAAGTGTCTGTTGTGATATTGCCTTTTTCACCCCGTATGCTAGTAATTTGAGTTCTCTCTCTTCTTCTCTTCGCTAGCATGGCTAAGGGTCTGTCGATTTTGTTTATTTTTTCAAAGAACCAACTTTTAGTTTTGTCAATTTTTTCAATTGTTTCTTTTGTTTCAATTTCATTAATTTCACCTCTGATTTTAATTATTTCTTGCCTTCTACTTCTTTTGCTGTTGTTTTGCTCTTCTTTTTCTAGGATTTTGAGATGAAGTATGAGATCATTTATTTGTTGTTTTTTTCTTTTTTTAAGGAATGAACTCCACGCAATGAATTTTCCTCTTAGAACTGCTTTCAATGTGTCCCATAGATTCCGATATGTTGTGTCTGTGTTTTCATTAATCTCTAAGAATTTTTTAATTTCCTCCTTGATGTCTTCTATAACTCATTGATCATTCAGTAACCTATTGTTCATTCTCCAAGTGATGTATGCTTTTTCCTTCCTTCTTTTATCATTGATTTTCAGTTTCATTCCATTATGATCAGATAAGATGCATGGTATTATCTCTACTCCTTTATATTGTCTAAGAGTTGCCCTGTGACATAATATATGATCTATTTTTGAGAAGGATCCATGTGCTGCTGAGAAAAAAGTGTAACTGCTTGATGTTGGGTAGTATATTCTATATATGTCAATTAAGTCTAGGTTATTAATAGTGTTATTGAGTTCTATAGTTTCCTTATTCAACTTTTGTTTGGAAGATCTGTACATTGGTGAGAGAGGTGTGTTGAAGTCTCCCATGATTTTTGTATGGTGGTCTATTAGACTCTTGAACTTGAGAAGAGTTTGTTTGATGAAGATAGCTGCACCATTGTTAGGGGAATATATATTTATGATTGTTATGTCTTGTTGGTGTATGGTTCCCTTGAACAGTATGTAGTGTCCCTCTTTATCCCTTTTGATTAACTTGGGCTTGAAATCTATGTTATTTGATATGAGTATGGACACACCTGCTTGTTTCTGAAGTCCATATAAGTGATATGATTTTTCCCAACCTTTCACCTTCAGCCTATGTATGTCTTTTCCTATCAAATGCGTCTCCTGTAGGCAGCATATCGTTGGGTCTTGTTTTGTGATCCATTCTACTAGCCTGTGTCTCTTGATTGGTGAGTTTAAGCCATTAACATTTAGGGTTATTATTGAGATATGGGTTGTTCTTCCAGCCATATTTGTTTATTTATGTTACTAAACATGGTTTGTTTTCGTCTTTGATTTTTTTTCCCCCCTTTACTGTCCTACCTCCCACTGTTGGTTTTCATTGTTATTTTCCATTTCCTCTTCCTGTAATGTTTTGCCAAGGATGTTTTGAAGAGATGGTTTTCTAGCTGCAAATTCTTTTAACTTTTGTTTATCGTGGAAGGTTTTAGTTTCATCTTCCATCCTGAAGCTTAATTTCGCTGGATACACAATTCTTGGTTGGAACCCATTTTCTTTCAGTGTTTGAAATATGTTATTCCAGGATCTTCTAGCTTTCAGAGTCTGTGTTGAAAGATCAGCTGTTATCCTGATTGGCTTACCCCTAAATGTAATCTGCTTCCTTTCTCTTGTAGCTTTTAAAATTCTCTCCTTATTCTGTATGTTGGGCATCTTCATTATAATGTGTCTAGGTGTGGATCTCTTATGATTTTGCACATTCGGCGTCCTGTAGGCTTCTAGGATTTGGGATTCTGTCTCATTCTTCAAGTCTGGGAAATTTTCTCGTATTATTTCATTGAATAGATTGCTCATTCCTTTGGTTTGAAACTCTATCCCTTCCTGTATCCCAATGACTCTTAAATTTGGTCTCTTGATGTTATCCCATATTTCTTGGATGTTCTGCTCATGGTTTCTTAACAGTCTTGCTAAGCTGTCTATGTTCTTTTCAAGTTGAAATAGTTTATCTTCATTGTCTGATGTTCTATATTCTAAGTGTTCTACTCTGCTGGTAGTATTCTCCATTGAGTTTTTAAGTTGGTTTATTGCTTCCTGCATTTCTAGGATTTCTGTTTGTTTGTTTTTTATAACCTCTATCTCCCTGTATAGTTTATCTTTTGCTTCTTGGATTTGTTTATGTAATTCATTGTTGAAGTGATCTTTCATTGTCTGATTTTGCTGTCTGATGTCTTCCTTGAGACTCCAGATCATCTGAAGCATGTATATCCTGAATTCTTTATCTGACATTCCATTTGCTGCAGATATTACCTCTTCTAACGTTGAGTTCACCTGCATTGCTTGTGGTCCTTTCTTTCCTTGTCTCTTCATAGTGTTCGCGTTTCTTTCTGCTTGGTGAAACTGTTGTGCTATTGAATTTTCCCCCTATATATTTATATTGGTCTTGTATAGTTGCAAAGTCTCCCTCACAGGCGCGGGCGGCGGCTCTGTCCCTCTGCGGGCCGCTAGGCTTGTTCTGTCGGTGGTCGCAGTTCTGCCTACTTTGCAGGCGCAGGCAGCGGCACTGCCCCTCTGCGGGCCTCTGGGCCTGTTCTGCCGGTGGGTCGCAGGTCCGCCTACCTTGCAGGAGCGGGGGGGGGGGCGGCTCTACCCTTCCGCAGGCCGCTGGGCCTGTTCTGTCTGTCGGTTGCAGGTCTGGCCTGTGGTGAGCCGTGTTTGTAGACCGCTGCCGTCATTAGAAGATGGCGCCGGTCTCCGTTGTGGATCTTGGTAAACAACTCCTTATTTGGGAGAGTTGGCGTGCTGTCCCTCAATACCCTATGAGAAAACCCCGCGTGGCAGCTTTGGTTTGGACTTGAGTAAGCTTTATTAGGCTGTGCTTGGGCGCTCGGCGGGGGGGTCGCTAGAAGATGATACATGAAACAAGGCCTGAATAAACTGCTGAAAGAAGAATCCTGTGTCGTGTTTTCCCTTGCCGGCGAGGGGTCGCGACAATTGGTGGCCCGGACGGGGAATTATATTCCTCGAACCCAGGATCCAGAACTTTCAGCAGTCAGGGTGGTGCACCGGTAAGTTCCCAGGTAAAGTGGGAATCCGCAAGCAAATAGCGGGGCGCTCTCTCTGTAAATAGAGAGAGAGCGGAAAAAAGGACGCTCCCCTGTAAAAGGAAGAGAGCGGGGAATTCATAGAACGGAATGCTCCCCTGTAAAAGGAAGAGAGCGGGGATTTTTGTACTTTCACTTTCTTTATAGCTCTAAAAACATTATGGGCGTTGCTTCTTCAAGCCCAATTTTGTTGGCCCTAGATGGGTTGCTACGTTCAAAAGGACTTAAGGTAAAGCAGAGCACTTTGCAGATGTTTTTGAGAGAAGCTGCCGGGGCCGCGGCCGCGGTCTGGGCATGAGGATGGCGGTGGGCTCAGTCAAAATGCAGCCGCCGTGCGAGAACCCCACCCTGGCCGTGGCGGTGGTGGCGGCGGACAGCGCTCTGCGCCATAGTCCCAGCGCCCGCGAGCCGGAGTGCGAGCATCCGCCGGCGTCGCTGCAGCTGCAGCTGAAGGACCTGCTTGCACTGCTGCGGAGTGGGCTCACGCCGCGGAGAAAGCGGAGCGCCGCCGGGGGCCGGGACCGGACGGAGCCGGTGTGGGTTCCAGAACGCCTGACAAGAAGAGTCCCGACAAATACATCTGAGTTTAATATAACCACTTTGGCCATTACTTCCCAGGTGTTAATTCTGTTGTCTCCTTCTAATGAGACCTCTAATGCCACTCATTTTAAGGCTTCTCCTTATTGCACCCCTGAGTATGGCTTCCCTCCTATATTTACACCTTGTCAAGATCACTCTTGGGAGAAACATCAGGTCGCCAAAGGTTTTTCCCTTTCTCCCTCTCTCAAAAGGTACTTGTATAATTCTTCCAACAATTATTCCTCTATAGGAGCGGGTTGGTCCTGGTTTCAATGGTTGATTTCCAATGAAAAGGGGGCCACAGCCGACATCTCCGCTTTGGCTCAATTACGAGGAGTCCAAAGTTGGCTGTTTAATGTTTCTGGCAGTACCCAAGACTCGGGGTGGGATAGGAGACTCAAATCTATTTCACACAATGCACTATTAGGTAATGCAAAGTTACCCTCTGCAGCAGTCTGTCTCCAATCTCCGTTTCTGTTCCTTTTGGCTAATGTTACATCACAGGGGATGCTTAATTGTTCTAATACTTCCTGTTACTTGTCTGAGTGTTGGAATGGCTCCTGGACTATGGCAGTGGTTATGAAAATTCCAACTTTTGTCCCGATCCCGGTTACTGCGGATCCAGAGTCATTTCCTATTGTTGAACTGATTAGAGCCCATAGAGATTTTGGAATTACGGCAGCTATAGTGACAGCTGTGGCAGTGTCTGCTGCCGCAGCAGTTATAGCTGTAGTAGCCATGGCCAGCCAGGTTCAAACTGCTGCCACTATTAATCAGGTTATTCAACAAACATCCACCATACTTGAATCTCAAAGTAGAATTAATCAACACATTCTATCTGGGATTTTGGCTGCTAATCAAAGGATAGATCTGCTTCAAGCTCAAGTTGAGGAATTGTCAGACCTAGTACATTTGGGTTGTGTTGATCATCATGCACATCTATGTATAACATCTCTCAGATTTAATGATTCCAGAAATACCTCTCAAATCATCGGACAGTACCTGGCCGGAAACTGGTCCATGGAAGCAGAGAAGTTGATCCAGACCCAACTGACACAAATTGCCATGTTGAACAACACTCGTGTGGACCCTGTGACATTGGGCCAATTTACGAATTGGCTGTCTTCTTTTTCTTTCTTTAAGGAATGGGTGGAAATAAGCATTTTTGGAGCAATGTGTTGTTTTGGGGTTGTCCTTTGTCTGTGGCTTTTCTGTCGCCTAAGAGCTCGCCATAGCCAAGAAAAGGCTATGATCGTCCAGGCTTTTGCAGCCCTAGAGAATGGTATCTCTCCACAAGCTTGGCTTGCGCAACTTAAGCAACAATTTCCTGGGTTTTGGCCATTGCACCCCAAGTTATCTTTGACATTGCACTGGGATTGGCATGCCCTCCTCTTCCTGCCTTCCCAGTTATGGAAGGCCCATGCACTCTGCAGGCCTTGTTGCCATTGCACGCAGGTGGGCTTCCATGCTGGTGCTGCACTTTATGCTTTGGACCCTTCGTTTTCTCAGGGGCTGAGAGATGGTGTTGCCACTTCCAACCTCATAGTCACTGACTGGCTACCTGTAAAATCCCCCTTCTTTTTCACCGTCAACACGATGCAGGATGCGAGGCAAGGCACTGCACTTGAGTGATCCGATCTCCGGACCTCAAGGGAAGCATGTCCTATTGCATACGGGTTTGTCCCACGAAAAAAGGCGTTGGCTGATATGGTGTCAGATCTAGGGAAGGCGCCTCCTTGGGACTGAGCCATACATTGCAGCCATGTTTGCACAGTGGGATAGGACCTCTACTTTCGCCTGCATTGTTTTTTAAGAGATAAGGGGGAACTGTGGTGAGCCGTGTTTGTAGACCGCTGCCGTCATTAGAAGATGGCGCCGGTCTCCATTGTGGATCTTGGTAAACAACTCCTTATTTGGGAGAGTTGGCGTGCTGTCCCTCAATACCCTATGAGAAAACCCCGCGTGGCAGCTTTGGATTGGACTTGAGTAAGCTTTATTAGGCTGTGCTTGGGCGCTCGGCGGGGGGTCACTAGAAGATGATACATGAAACAAGGCCTGAATAAACTGCTGAAAGAAGAATCCTGTGTCGTGTTTTCCCTTGCCGGCGAGGGGTCGCGACACTGGCCTGTTCTGTTGGTGGTCGCAGGTCCGCCTACCTTGCAGGCGCGTGGGGCAGCTCTGCCGGTGGGTCACAGGTCCACCTACCTTGCAGGGGGGGAGGGGGCGGCTCTGCCCCTCAGCAGGCCGCTGGGCCTGTTCTGCCGCTGGTCACAGTTCCGTCTACCTTGCAGGCGCGGGGGGAGGGGGCGGCTCTGCCTCTCAGCAGGCCACTGCACCTGTTCTGCAGGTGGGTCGCAGGCCCGCCTACCTTGCAGGCGTGGTTGGCAGCTCTGCCTCTCCGCGGGCCACTGGGCCTTTTCCGTCGGTGGTCACAGTTCTGCCTACCTTGCAGGCGCGGGGGTGGGGGGCGGCTCTGCCCCTCAGCAGGCCGCTGGGCCTGTTCTGTGGGTGGTCACAGTTCCGTCTACCTTGCAGGCGCGAACTTAACAGTTTTGAGGGGCACTATTCTGAGATTTTTTTAGAATGTCTCTCAGTTTGGGCTTGTCTGGAGAGTGCCTTTATAATGTACACTTTGTGAATCTGTTGTACATGGAGGCAGCATTGAGCATTTACCAAGAAAAGGATTTTAGAGTCAGATCTCCTAAGCTTGAATTCCATTTCTATTACCTACAATCTTTGTGACCCTGGGCACATTATCTAATTTCTATTACTTTAATGAAAATTATCAATGAGGATATCTATTTCATTGAGTAAAAGGATGAGATGAGATAAGGATAGTTGAGTGAATTGGACATTATTACTCTATGTGCATAAGTGATTATGTACCAGTGTGATTCTACATCATGGCCAACCAGAAGAATGAGAAGTTATACTCTATTTATGTATGATGTGTCAAAATGCATTCTACTGTCATGTATGATTAATTAGTACAAATAAAAAAATCTTTTTTAAAAAAAGAACAGAACATGGAGTAGAATAAGCTCCCCATCAGTATTAGCTGCTATGATTATTATTTTTATGATACCAAAAGCTTGATCCTTATCCCTGATGCTGACCCAATAAAAAGAACAAAATTTTGAGATAAAGGAAAAATAAGTTTTATTGCTTTGCTAAAAAATTGAGAAGCACAGGGGACTCCTGTCCCAAAGGCTGTGACTCTCCCTATTAGGGGGAACAGAGGACTTTTTAAAGAGGTGATTCAAAGTCTACACTCTGGCTGTGCTCTCTCAGGAGTCATAATTCATTTGTAGCCTTGAGAGATAGCTGTCTTTTAGATCTGTAAGTGCCAAGTCTGGAGTCGCAACTTCTTCATTTCTGTGATCTGTGAGTCAAAAGATAACTCAGCCTAGGCTGGGAAGAAGTTTAATTCTACTTCCACCATGATTAAGGAGCAAGAGAGAGAAAAGAGGAAGAAGAAAACATGTCAGTTTTAAAAGAAGCCACAGTGGTGGAACAGCAAGTGTTATATTCAAAGCATGAAGTGGACCCTTGTTATAGAATTACTGATTATTAAAACAAGAAATTCATCTGTCTCTTAAGGAGCTAATGGCCCAATGTGGGAAGAAGACGTGTAAACATAAATTTATTATGCTAATTATAATGTTAAAGTTGGTCTTCTTATTCTATATTGTTTTGATTTTCAGGCGGTCAGTTTTGGAGGGGGTGGCTTTTATACTGATTAATATTTATTGTCTTGAGGCAGGATATCCAAATTCTGAAATGCCAAAAATGTATGGAGAATTGGTTCAGAAGGAGAAGTTTGGGTATCAATGATATGTTTTGGTGAAAGCTAAGTGTCTTCAGCAGTTGAACATTGGAATGTGGGAGATGTTTGGGAAATTAGTTCATAGACGAAGATTTGATGGAGGATGTGCAGATGATACAGTTGAATGGAGTTTGAGTGTGCTGGTTTTGGCTCCATGAAATGCACATTGAAAAGTATGATAAACTTTTTGCTTCATAGTCTATTACCCATTTCTTCAAGATATGAAATTAATGCAAGTTATAAGCCATAAATAAGCTTTATGATATTAGTATGGTCTTAGAGAGAATGGGAAAAGAAGACAGACTAGGATTTAAATAAAAACAATAAAAAGTACATCATTTTATATCTAACCAAGGTCCTACCTCAGACACAGAATAGATTACACACATGAATGTTTCCTCTGATGAGTCAGAATGCAAGAATTTCTGGCCTGTTTTAAAGCATTCATGGAACTAATTAGAACCTACTTTAAGAGAAAAATTAAGTCTTCATTACCATTTGGACAGTTTTCATTTTGTCAGTATGATATGAATCTTTGCTTCTCATACCCAACTTTTTAAAAATTTTCACTGGACCCTGAAGTGTAGCTCCAGTAGATTTGTTTTCTGAATCACATTGTAAGTATCCAGCTCTGTGGACGTCTCATAGCTTTTCACAAAATGATTCAAGATTGAGTCATTCTTTGTCTTCCAAGTTCTACTCCTTCAGTTGTTCTGGTTGAACAAGTTTATCTTACAGTACTAGCTGAGCTGCCTGACACCATACTACACAGTGCATAATACTGATTTCCCTAATGAAGGACAGGAGAAGGTACATGATCATGAAGTATACCTTTTAGTTTTTTAGATTTTGAAGAATTCTATTTATTTTTAAAATGACTTTGCATCATCAGTACATTTTTTGAGCTACTCAAGGATTTGTTAATCTCAAAACTGTTGGCATTTGGGCTGGGTTACTTTGTCGTGGAGTGTTGTCCTAGGCATTGTAAATGTTTATAAGGATCCTTGACCTGTACCTAATAAACACCAGCAACCTGCCTTTCCCAGTGAGGACACCCAAATGTGTGGACAGCACCTGCGAAAAGTCCCCCAGGAGACAAATTTAGCCCATGTTAAGAAACACTGAGCAAACCTATTAGATACAAGTCAAAACAAAGGGGCTATGATGTGTGGATACTTGTACTGGCTTTGAAATTAGAAAGATCTAAATTCAAATCTCAGCCCTATCTTTAATCAGTGGTACCATAGTTGGGGAACTTAATCCTTATGGGTCTTTATTATTATTATTGTTATTATTTTAGTTGTAGATAGACACAGTATTTTTATTTTACTTATTTATTTTTATGTGGTGCTGAAGATCAAACCTGGTGCCTCACACTTTCTAGACAAGTGCTCTACCGCTGAGCCACAATCCCCCCCACCCCACTTTTTGGCATTTTATATATACATGGAATATAACTTATTCTAATTAGGATCCTATTCTTATGTTTGTACATAATGTGGATTTACCCTGGTCGTGTATTCACATACAAGGGTAGAAAAGTTATGTCTGATTAATTCTTTCCTATTCCCTCCCCCCATCCTTTCCCTTCAATCTCATCCAATGGACTTTGATTCTTCCCCTCCCCACCCTCCCTTGTTGTGGGTTAGCATCCACATAACAGAGAGAACATTAGGCCTTTGGTTTTATGGGATTGGCTTATTAAGCAGTGATAGTTCATACCAGATGATATTATTTTGAAAATTAAAAAAAGAAAAAAATATACATATGTACATGCCCATGCATATTTATGACCTAGCCAAATGCTTGATCAAAGAAAATCTTTCATACATGTTCCTACCCCACAACTTTCCATTGATGCTAGTGATATTTTATTTATTTATTATCTTATTAATAAATATTGGAGTAAAAAACATGGAGTCATTGAAGTCAAACAGGGGAGATTGGCCATGTTAAAAAAAAAAAAAGGAATGTTGGCTGTATTAAAATGGGCCATATTAACATATGAGGCTAGATTTTTTAGAAACAGTATATTGTTAGGGCTCAGTAATTGGCTATGGAGTTCAGTAGACCTGGTTTTAAGACTAACCCATACCACTTCTAAAATGGGGGTACTAATGGTACTTACTCAGAGACTCTTATAATGATTAAATGAAACCATCTCCTGGTACATAGTAACTTTCTGTTCATGAAAAGTAAACATGTCCAGCAGTGGCTTGGCTAAGAGTTGATACAATTACAGACTTCTTCATTGAGAAGCTGGTATTTGAATCAAGTCTCTGAAGGTGTTTAGGATTTCCATCAGTCAACAAGACAAAAACAGGTGTTCTAAATAAGGGCATTGATGAGGATGGAGGAGATCAGAATCTTTGGGACACAATTAGTGGTTTGGTTTTACAAGCTGAAAGATCATATAAAGAAACATTCTGTAACATTTAGGCAGAACATATGATAAACTTCCATAATTTGAATAGATATTAAAGTCATCAAACTGCAATGGTTCATTCCAAAATGTTTGATTTTGAAAACAGAAGCCAAGAAAGAGTGGGTGTTTTACTGAAAGCCACTTTGTCATTAGAAGAGTTGATACTAGAATCTAAGATCACCATTTGCCTCTTAGCTACCTCTTCTTACCCTTAAAAAATATACACAGAATTATTATAATAAGTATAATATGAAAACATTCTTAATTTTATAAAATAAATTTCCCCAAATCATACTTTGTTTACTAAGTGAACTTAGGCTGAAGAGAGACAGTCAGCAATCCCCAAAGCATGAATTTATTGATTATGTACTCTATATTCCAGACACTGGTTGCAATGATAAATAATGCAAAAGAGACATTCTCTCACAAGGCTTCTACTGGAGAAAATAGTCACAAATACATGAACTTTTTAATCAAAAATATTAAACAGTATTAAGAACTTTGCAGAAAATTAAAATAGGGTGCTATGATATAGAATAACTGGATGTATATTTTGAATTGGATGGCCAGGCTAGAGCTCTGTAAATGGGATGTTAGAGTCTAGATCTGAATGACATAACCCTGAAGTTCAGAAGCAAAAAATTTCTAGTCAGTGGGGGCAACTAGCATATAGCCTCTCAGGCTGCTTGCAAACTTTCAAAATAAAGAAAAAAAGAGTGAGTCTGGATTTTAGTAGGAAAGTAGAAGGAAGGTCAAGAAAGAGAAGTCAGAAGAGGTCAGATCATTTTGAGTTAAGTGGGCCAGTATATGAAATCCAGATTTTATTCTAAGTAAATCATGAAGCTGGAGAGTTTTATCAGGAAGCGATTGAAGTGACTGGTCTGCTTTATCTTACAGGAAGGTCATTTTAGCTACTATTTGGGGAGTAGATTGCAGAGAGGCAGGGAGACCACCTCTGAGACTATAGCACTAGTCCAGTTGAGAGGTAAGTGGCTTGAACTAAGGTATGGAAATGGAAAAAAGTCTGAATATTTAGGATGTATTTTGGATATAGAGTGGACAAGTGTTGGTGATACTTTGTATCTGGGGAAGAGGGGAAGAATCCAGGAGACTCCTAGAATTTTGGCTTCAGTTACCAGATAGAAAGTTAGGTACCATTAACAAGAATGGAAAAGGCCAGAGGAGAAAGTTTGGGAAGGAAAGAAAGGAGTTCTATTTTAACCACGTTAAATTAAAATGATTATTTTTCATTTAGTCAATAAGTATCTATTGAATACTTATAAGACACTGCTTTGGACTCTAATATATTAACAAAAATACAAAGTTCTCTGCCCTGTTGTAGTTTATATTATACTGGATGATTCAAAAGATTAAGATAGAAAGATATATAATGTGTCAATGATGGTGAATGTTGGGGTAGGATCTGTAATCAATACTGTGGTCTGATATAGTAAGTTTTTACTGACGGGGGTGTGTGATGGGAGACTTGAAGGAGGTGAGGCAGTGAGCCATGCTGATAATCTGCTGGAAGAGACTTGTAGACATCCAAGTGGAGGCCAGAGCTGAAGGTATAGGCTTAGACGTTATACGTGCAGAGATTCTTTATCAAATATGGAACCAGATGAGATTCTCAAGAAAGAGTATCTAAGTGGATAAGAGAAGGAGCTTCTGTAGCTTGTTAATATTTGAGAAGAAAGATTGGCAGGAGAAACTAAACAGGACTAGCCAGTAAAGTGAGAGGGGAAAACAGATAAGTGTGGTGTCAGAAAAGCCGAAAGGAACATTTCAAAAAGGAAAAAGTGATCAATTCTGGTAGTTATTACTGAGGGCTCAAATGAGACAAGGATAGACACATATGACCTTTTATTTATTTATTTATCAATGGATATATGGGAACAGAAAGTCCTGAAATTAATTGGTTGAGGAGATAGGTATAAATAAAAGAGGAAGAGTTGCAAAGATGAAAGGTGAAGACCTTGAGGTCAGAGGGAGGATCAAGAACACAGGTGGAGGGTATCTCATGTGAACATGAAGAGATGCTTCCTCCATAGCAGTAGGAAGAAAGGCAAAGAGTATGGATACAGATGCAGATAAGTTGTCAGATCTGATGATGAAAAAAGAAGGGAGTTCCTATCTGATTGTTCCTACTTCTCCCATAAGGTATGAAGTAAGTTTATTAACAGGATACAAGTGGGAGATTTGGAGGCCAGTTTGAAAGGGGAAATGGTGTGAAATAGCTATTTAAGTAACTGCCTGACATAATAAACTCATAAGTTTGTTCTCAGATGATGACCAGTCTGCTTTTTATCCCTCAGCCAAGAGGTTGGAGTCCTATCAGGAAGCGGTCTCTGAAGAAGAGTATGCAGACACCCTCAGCAGCTCCGTCAGCAATATGGCAAGACTGAGAGCCCACAGCTTCAGGACAGTTCATAATGGGCCTTTGGGAAGCAAACCCTCAAATCATCTTTCTGGAAGTACTTTTGCTGTAGCAAGTGGAGAAGGAGCCAGTGAAGTGACTCATTCCAGACAAGCTGCCTTCAGTAGCCCCATTGTAAGTGTGAACTCATGATTAGAATTACACATGCACAGTGTTTAAGGGAAGAACAGCCTTGTATTGACAATTCAGCCAAAGATTGTTCTACTTTCTACTGAAGAAGAGACTACATCATTATAGTTCTGTGTGATTGTGACACATAATAAATATAAACAAATAATATCACAACTTCCTGATTTTTGAAATAATTCAGTGTTGAGAAGTTATATACTGTTTCAGAAAAATGTAATATTTTTGACCCAGGAATGAACTTGTCTGAGCCTAGAGGGCTGCCTTCACTTAAAGATCAGAGTTCACTCTTGGGTCCAACAAAGCTAACTTATCTCACAGACAGGTGAATATGTCTAGTTGACAGGGAAATTCATGGGCCTTTTGGTGACCTTGAAGACCTTTTTATCTCTCTGTAATCTGCCTCTCTGTTCCACCAAACTTGGGTCTTCTCCCTCATTCCTAGCCTTCAAAAGAGCATTTCCATAATATTTCCATCAAAAAGATCATCAGGGTGTGTTTTTAGTTTCCTCAAAAACTGTTAGGAACTGATTGATTACACCCATTAACAAACTCATTTTTCTGCAGAAAAAAAAATTAGAGGGAAACAGAGGAAAGGTGCTTGTGTAAAAAACTTAGACATTAAATGTCTTACTATACCTAAAACTACTTCTTTAAAATACTTGTTTCCTTTTTGTCTTTCACACTACATAAGTGTTTGTGTTTTACCAAGAAGGATGAGACCTCCAATGAGATGAAATCTCCAATGATGAGACTAGTAATAACTCCCAAATTGGTGGCATAACAGGAATAAATCAGCTCTGTGGAACCCTTATGTTGCTACAGTGTTGTAAGATTTTCCTGGTGGATACATTATGTGAATGCACCCCAGGGATCTCCTTTGACCTGGGAAGGCCTTGAAAATATCTACTGTCTCTTTTACAAATGTCAACAAGTGCACAAGTGCAGCAAGTGGAGTGACCCTTGCAGTTCAACTCATTTCTGTGGCACTAAGAATAGAATACCTGTTACATTGTGTCTTGATCATATGGTAAGCTGTTTCAAACTTCTCAACTTTTCTCCAACTTTGAAAGAAATAAGAAAGTAATACTTCTCTACACTCATTTTAAGTCTGTATTAGAAATTCATATGTATATATGCATTTATTTTCTTCTATGCTATTTGTTAACTTATCCCTCTACTGAACTGTGTTAGCCTTTCATTGCTGTAAACAAAATACCTGATAAGAACAATCTAAAGAAGAAAGTTTATGTTGGCTCACAATTTCAGAGGTTTAGTCCATGGTCAGCTGAGTCCAAGGGGAGGCAGAACATCGTGGCTGAAGGATGGGATGGAAGAACATTGCTCCACTCTTGGAAGCCATGAGTGGGAGCAAGGGAGAGAAGGAGAAAGGGACCACAGAGATGATAAAATCTTTCAGGGCATGCCCCCCAGGGACCCTTCTGCTAGTTAAGAAGTATGTTTGAGTTATTTTTAAAGGTTGTAACCTGACTAGTTACCAACTGTTTGATCATTCAAGCTAGGATGTTCTGAGTAGGTTGCAGCTCTCGTAAACTAATCATTTCACTTCTGAATATTCCTGCATTAACACAGGCGCTTTGGAGAGACACCATATCCAAACCATGCCATAACATGAACTTTTACATTTTCCACGCACCTGAAAGGAAGCACTCATAGGCTCATGTTCAATTGGAGTAGCACAGTACTGACAGCCTGCTGGGCCTGTGCCATACCTCCTTACTATTTCCTGATCAAACCACACTCTGCTATTGGAACAAATGAGTACTTCTTAAAGTTTTTTTTTTCTGCCTTTATCTACAATATTTTCTCTGCCTAAAATATGTTCTCCCTTCATATCCCACTTCTGTTCAACAAATTTGATGAAATGTTAATTTAAGAAAAACCTTTCATATCGGCTTTCTGAAGACTTTTCAGATGATGTTTTTTTTTAGCATCTAAGCTGTTTGCATGTTCCCTCTGTCCCTTGACCCATGTTACATTGGTTTTATTTTTACATCTGATTTTAATTTCTTGAGAGCAACAACTGTTTCATCTTGAATCCTCAACATGGTTTCTAGCTCATTCATTATCAATGAAATATTTTTGAAGGTTCTTGAATGAAGCTACTTAATAACCTCAGTCTTTTCAGCGACATGTGTCACTCTAATTATGTGAATGTGGGGAGGGGTGTCTTGTTTTTGTGTTTTGCAAAACCATACTCCTGTATAGGATAAAGAGATCATGTTCTTCCTAGAAACATAAGACCATCTCTCACTCTGGGTCTGCACAAGTTGATTTTATCCTTTTTGGTGACTAAAGATTATTTTAAGAAAGCTATGTAATCATTGACCTGAAAAATTGGCCTCTACAAAAATTTTGCATATGATTCTTAAAGTCCACTCATCCATGGAGTCAAGATGAAGAACACCTGCTTGAGAACACTGAGAGATGAGCTTCCTAGAAGTAGACGCTTATAAAATGGCACCTTCATGGGAAGCAAATTAAGAGCTGGCATAGCAATGTCAATCTTTGAAACTTATAATGTCATTGAGGCCGTTGGACCCTGGGTTTACATTACCTATTCTAGAAATAGAAGCCTTTACTTCGTAAGCCAATGTGTTTATGCTTCTGTAATCCCCTAGTGTTTCTCTTTCAATCAGCATGATGTTCATTCTACCTGGGATGTTCTTCTCCCAGGTCTTTCTATGGCAATCTCCTTCCCATCACGGAGATCTCAACTCAGGTGTCACCTGTGCAATGGAGTCTACCTGGCCACCTGATCCCAAATACTTTCCATCTCTCCCATCTCAATCTAGAAGTATCTTATTTACTTATGGGATACTTTTGGATTAACTGTCTCCTCCAGGTAGAATTGGAGTTTCATGCAAGACAGGATCTTGCTTGTCTTATGCACCCTACTTTCTTTGAGAGATGCCTGGCACCATTGACCAACAAAAATATTTATGGGACAAATGACTTAATTAATCAATTAGTAGAAGACATAGCATAATACTGACACTGGGATATAAAAGGAATAAGACATTTTTTGCTCCTAGCATTTGGTTATATTCTAGGTAGCAAGCTGGGCAGACAGCCCAGAACACATGCAGATACCCGACACTCATGGGAGAGCCTGAGCAGAGAAGTTGTCAGTGTGTGTCACTATTGGCCTTTGTCATTTACCTTTGAGTCTATGGTGTTTAGGAATCAGAAGGGACCAAGAGAAGGCATTTGGAGCTATTCTCAAGCCAAAGTTGCAGAGGAGGAGCAGTGAGCCCCTAAAATGGGAGAGAAGTAGCAGCAGAAAAGGAAATAAAACCCTTAGGTACACGTGGAAACAGAGGAGGAGTAGGAAATAGCCTTATAGCTGCTTGGTCAACTCATCTCCCATCCATTTGTAACTGTGGGCATTTGGGATTTTATATAATTGCCACTCAGTATGATTAAGTGTCCTGTCACTCAGTTTTAAAACAAATGTAAATTTAAATTATATTAAAGTCATCTAAAAGCTTCAGCAAGCATATAGGAGAGAAAAGAGGAGCCCTGGTCAGTTTTTGCTTATTTAATTTGTATTTGCATAGGAGGTAGGAGGGGAAAGGAAGGAAGGGAAGAAATGAACATGGAATCTGCAATCTGATAAGAAGGGTTAACATGAATCAAGAGGATAAATCTAGAATTTCTAATGGTCAAATATCATCTCACAGGATTAAGACAAAGTTTTGGAACTCCCACTAAGAAACCAGATAAAGCTTTGTTTACTTGATGGGAAGTTGTCCACATCTGGCTGTCTGCTCTGTGCTCTAATTGGGAATATAAATTTTCTCTGAATTTTAATAAGACGTCTATTTTAGGCCCAGTAAGAGCTAATATGGTTTATTTTCCAAAGAGTAACATCTTTTTGTTTCTCCATCTCTTTCCTTATGGAGTATAAGGCTAGCGAGTGTTTGGTAGTAATGTATGACAATAAACTTTGCAATGTGTTGGATACTGAGTTAGGGATCAGTAAGATACAGTCCTTACTTCAAAGGAACTGCCAAGCTCTCTGGGGAGAGAAATGCAAGGGCATGGAATCATTTAAGTCAAGATACTGTGGGCCTGATTCTCAACTTCATAGTATTCAGAGAGGATAGAGCTGTCTATCATAGGAAAAAAGAACAAATGTCATTTTTTTTTAAAATACAGGATTCCAATGAAAAAGATCTGGATATTGGGGAAAACATCTATAGATAAAGTCATAGATAAAAAATTGCATGTGGTATCTTGATACCTTCTTCATTCATCAACTACCTTACTAAAGATTATTTTGTCAAAAACAAGTAAAGTGAAGAAATACTTTTTATCTGTAGCTTCATTTCCATATGGCCTTTTCCTTAAATCTCCTTCTGGATTCTTCTTTTATTTATATTATGTTAGGGTGCTTCAAGGTTCTCTATGTCCCAAGTTTCTAGATTTTTTCCCACTTTATTTTGCTAATTCTTATCTACACAATTTACACACACACAAGCACACACACACACACATGGTTTGGGTAGGCTTTGGTATCACTTTTATTCTCATGACTATGGCACAGTCTGGCATCTAAGAATGCTTTATGACAGCTGATAACATGGCCCTTTTAAACCTATTATGAGCCTGTAACATGCCTGAGGGTGAGTGCTTGTCAAGAAGGAAAGAAAAGAAATGTTAAATTACTTGGGTTGCTGTTGTACTGGTCTCCTCTCAGTCACTATCCCATTTACCTTGAACATCCACTCTATTAGGTATGAGTTCTCAAAAAGTGATGTAAGTAGCCACCAATTTGGATACAGTGGAGATAACACCTGATCCCAAATCCACATGATTTCCAGTGCAAACTCTTTTCCTATTAAACTTATGCAACTCTTGCCAAATTCTGAAGCATAAAATGCAAGCCATGCTCTTCTGCATCCAAGATCCCACCCACCATTTCCATGTTTCACTCTTTGCTCTAAATCATCTCTCTTGGCTTCCTTAAGTCAATGTGTTTTGCTGGCCAGAATTCAGGACTCCTCTACCGTACAGTAGTGTATTTGTAAACCTTGATTCTGAATGCCCTGTCCCTCTTTGACTCAGCTCAAAGATTCTTAAACAGTTGGCTATATGTTCTTGGATTGTAATCAGATTTCTAATACAATATTCTTCTGTTAAAACTCTCAAATAAGTGTGAGAAGCACTGTGTGAAATAAAATGGCATACTTTTCTCCAATAATAAAACTTCATAGAGCAAATCTTTACTAAGAACTTTTCAGAGGAGGGCATATTTGCCATACATATTTGGTGATCAGGAATCTCTTAGAAAAAAACTACTAATCTGTTTCTTACAGGATATTGCTGAGATGTGCTGATTAAATCTGTTAGCCTGCCTGCAATAAATTCTATTTTGGAGAGTTGGTTTTTTACAATAGTAATAAATTGAGCTATTAAATATTTTTTAAAGTGATGCGATATGAATAACAAACTCATTTTAAGAAGAATTCATAGTCATCAGTTATTCTTGGGTCAATCAATAGCCAAGGTAGAATTCTAGGCACAATAAAATATATGTCTGCCTGGCACAATGCATTTCAAAATGAGAAATACAGATTTAACCAGATTTTGGTAGAATATCACTGTTGCTATCTGCTGTTTAGTTTTAAGTTAATAGTCAAGTTTGTCTCTATTAATAATGTAGAGTCTGGATTTCTATATATTTTTATGTGTTTTCTATTGTCACTTTCATGATTCCATCCATATGCATTAACATTTTGTTTGTTTTCTGCTTTTTTTTTTTTTAAAAAAAGAAAAGTTTCCCATTTCATGCTTCATTTAGATCCTGGTTATGAAATTTATTTCTTCTGTTGATTGTATTTTGTCTTATTGTCTTATCGAATCTTCAGGAAACTGATGTGGTGCCTGATACCAGGCTTTTGGACAAATTTAGTCAGATTACGCCTCAGCTATTTACCCCAGGAGACGGAACCATCCCAAGTCCTGCCCTGGAGACTTTGTACATCATGGACTTCTTTATTGCCTTGGCAATTTGCAACACAGTGGTGGTTTCTGCTCCTAACCAACCTCGACAAAAGGTAAAGCCTCCTTTGCAATCAAGGGTCATCTCTGCAGAGGAGAATTTGGGATTTATATGTATCTATACTGTCTTGTTATATGATAATAACAATAAATAATAATAATAGTATCTAATAGTAGCAGGAATATGACATGTTTTTAGGACTGAGTCTCTACTCTGTATTTAACCATGGTCTAAGTGATTTACTTAGTGTATTAATGTGTTTAACCCTCCCAACAGTCCTCTGAATTAGATATTCTTACTCTACTATTTCCCATTTTATAGATCACATAGAGTAATTTGCCCAGGCTCCCAAAACCAGTTTGTAAGGGATAACTGATGAGAATGTGTTCATTTTGCTTTAGTTTACTTACCAAATTAAAACTTGCTTTGAAACTTTTGAGACCTCCAACATCATCTCTACTTTATCAAACACAATAAGAATTATTGGGTTCATCATCATGCTTACTGATAATGTGCTTTCTCAGGTACTAGTTGGGTCAATTTTAACCGAATTTAAAATCCAGTACGTGTATAACATAACAAGATTCTGTTGTTTTTACGAAAACTGCATTTTTAAAGTCCGTTTATAGCCTGGAATTCATGGAGAATTCATTTTTCAATTAAGAAGAAAAACTTGTGTTAAGGGCTAGTGATTCATCACTTGGCTGTGCTAGCTTCTTTTGTGTATAACTATCTCCCCTTTTCGTACATCCACTTAAAATTCAATTTTGTACCATAACCCAATTAAATTTTAATTTTCTATTAGATCATTTTCTTTTGGCAACTTCAGAGATGGTCAACCTTAACATAAAAGTAATTTATTTCCAATTAAGGTGCATTTGATTAGAAACTATATATTTGCAAGGTTTTCCTAGGAAGTTGCTCTTTGAAAAGTGATTATGTAGTCAGAGAATAAATCACTGGGTGCTTTGTGTTTTCCTTCCAGAACATTTTTTTTTCTTCATAAATATGTTTCAAGTTGGAATCTTTTGGTGTTTTCTGTTTAAGAAATATTGTTGTTCATTATCTCAAGGTGATGGTGGAAAACAGTGAACAGGAGATAATCAGAACTTAAATGGAACGTGAAAACCTCATCTGTGATCAGGGTTAATTCTTCTGATTTTTGAGTTGTTGATAACTTCAAAAGTTGACCAGCATGAGACCCTCAAACCATTATAAAGTTAATAATTTTTCAGAAAAAAAAAACTTTTTAATCCCCCAGGCATTTCTGAATGAGAAAATTTTAGAATTCAATTAATTGATCTTCTATGTATTAGTATTAAATTCTAAATTTTATCACTGATAAACAGAGATCTAACCGAAATTAGGGCACAAATAAGAAAATGCTCTGTAAAAATAGAAATTTGTATTCATATTCTGATGCTTCTTCCTGAAATTATTTTGTTTACAGTTCTGATTTTTTTTTAAAAAAAAGTCAAAGTAACCTTTTATAGAATCTGGAAAGTTAAAGGAAAAAAATGTTGTTCATTTACTCTCTTAGGTATTTTTACTATGTGTATTGTTACTCATTTGTCCTTACATTTTCATAGCTTTTTTAATACTACCCCATGGTCTTTATAAATTTTATTCTTAATTATTTTATAATATTGCAAGAAGGTGTTTCTGTTTTGTTACTATTGAATACTTAATTTGCTTATAACTTTGAAATTGTTTTTGCTAGGATGTACCCAATAAAGATTATAGATTTTGCAAACCTCAAAATTATTTCTCTAGGAAAAATTACTCTATTTCTAATGTTAGCATTTTTTAACTTTTTTGGAAAAATTGCTGTAAGTATTCCCGATGTTATCATTTGATATCTTTTGCTATCAGTTGTCATATTTCTTCCCAAAAGATTATAGAGATTTATTATATCATCACCCTCAACACACTGTTTTCCATGGTGGCTTTTATTTTTATTCATGTTTTCCACTCAGGTTGTAAGTAAGAAGCAGGCTGCTAATCATTTAAAGGAGTGATAACTCTTTAATATCTCACATCTTCCTAGTTGGAAGATACCTTTGACCGTACCAGTAAGACCTTCCTAAATTGCCTTTCCTAGATCAGACTCTCTTCCCTGAGTGGAACGCCCATCAAGTCCTTGGAAGAATTTAAAAATCTCTTCCAGAGATTGTCCGTCCGAAGATCAAGTTTACCATCCCTTACCAGTGGGAAAGAGCCATCTTCTGGGGTTCCAAGCACCTTTGTGGGAAGACTGTCTCTCTTCAGTCGAATGAAACCAGCTTCCCCCGTGGAGGAAGAGGTCTCCCAGATAAGTGAAAGTCCCCAGCACTTCAGTAACTCGGCTTGCTGTTTGGCACTTGAAAAACTGAACAGTGATGCAGGGCTTGCAAATGGCAAAGTGGAATCCCTCCCTGAACAGCCCTCGGCCTCCAACCTGTGTTATGAGGCTGAGAGTCCAGATGAAGCAGCCTTGGTGTATGCTGCCAGGGCTTACCAATGCACTTTACAGTCACGGACACCAGAGCAGATCATGGTGGACTTTGCTGCTTTGGGATCATTAACATTTCAACTCCTCCATATCCTGCCTTTTGACTCAGTCAGAAAAAGAATGTCTGTTGTGGTCCGACACCCTCTTTCCAACCAAGTTGTGGTATATACTAAGGGTGCTGATTCTGTAATTATGGAATTGCTCTCAGCAGCTTCCCCAGGTAGGTTCACACAGAGCTGGGATGGTAATGGGATGATAATGATATACCATTCATATCACTCTCATTTGAATCTCATGAATCATTTCATGTGGTAATATATTTATAAAGCAAAGTAGTAGATATTTGGGGATCACTCATACTTGGAAAAGTAGTGGAAAGTTGCTCACTATTTGGTGGGAAAGTAAATAAGTTTGTGAGCTGCATAGACCTAGGTTTAAATCTGGACACCATCATTAACTGTGTCCATATAAGGTTACCTAACTATTCTGCATTGAGTCTTCAATAAAGTGAGCATTATGATACCTCTGTAATAGGTTCCTGAGAAACTTAATGACATACTACACATGATGTTTGAAGACCCTCTGGCCAAATACCTAGGAAATGATAACAATTGAATGATGATAACTCCTGTTATTATAGTCATTCTTGCTGTTAATATGGGTACTATGGTAGCAGTGTTAATATTAAGGTCTTGGTATTTTTCTCTGATAAAAGAGAAAGAAAGAATCAAGGGAAACTTTTTTTCTGAAGGGTTCAGTTTATGGATATACATTTGGGATTTAAAACTGGAATGCCTTTGGTTTATTGTGGATTAAGAATCATTGTGTTTTAAAGTCTGTCTGTAATTGGGCAGACTGGTGGGAACACTAGTGTTTTGTCCATTATTTCAGATGGAGCAGATGTGGAAAAACAACAGACAATAATAAGGGAGAAAACCCAGAAACACTTGGATGACTATGCCAAACGAGGGCTACGCACTTTATGTATAGCAAAGAAGGTGAGACTGCTGAGCACACCCCATCTTTTGTTGCTCTTTCCCTAGTTTAGCCATCATTTGCTGAAAACTTGGATTATAACCCCATTCCAGGTCCTGGAGAAAGTTCTCAGACCACTTATTCTCTTTATGTAGCCTCTCCATTCCATACATTAGCTGGTTGGATTTTGTTCCCAAAGTATTTTGCAGGAGGCACCTAAAAGTTATATTCTCTGAGTTCTCACATGTTTCAATGTATCTTCAAGTGCCTTTGTGTGTAAATAGTTGTCTGGGAACAAAATTCCCTGTGTCCTACTTTTTTTCCCTCAGGATTTCATAAATATTGTCCCCTTTGTCTGATAGCATTAAATGTGCTTGGAAAAGAATGAAGCCAGAGACCAGTCTTAATTTTTCCCTTATTAGGTTCTTGGTGGGTTTTATTTTATTTTTCTTCTGTGCTCATAAGCCTTTATCTATAAAGCCAAGTAAATTTATGAAATTTTATCTCAGTATTGATTTTTCTCAATTGGGAATAATCTTGGAGCACAATGTATACTTGCTAAATATAAATTTAAGTAATAAGAAGACAGAGTTCCAAGAAATTATTTGAAGGAGGTTGTTACCAGAATCTTTCATTCCTTACTCAAATTCTAGTTCTTGGGAGCTCTGTTAGAAAAAGTAGGATCATTTTAGACTCAAGTCAACCAACTGCATAACAAATCAAAAGCCTATCTTACATATAGCTGTAGGAAGAATGGAGAGTTCAAGGTCAAACTAACCCTTGCTTCATCAGTTGAACAGTCCTTCATGTGGTAAAAATGTAGCCCAATAGGTGTCAGATTCTTCCAAATCAAGTTACTTTAAATATATATATATATATATATGTTTTAGTTGTTGATAGATCTTTATTTTTATTTATTTATATGTGGTGGTGAGAATCAAACCCAGTGCCTCACGCATGCCAGGCAAGTGTGTTACCGCTGAGCCCCAGCCGCAGCCCCCCAAGTCAAATTACTTTGTGGGCAAAAATAAGCAGCTAGAGAACTGTCTCACCCCGCTCCTGCCCCCACTCTACCCTGCTCTGTAAGAACTGAAAAGTGGATTTATCCCTGATGACAACTCCAAGAACTTCACTTAATCTTTGTCAGGAATAAGACTTTCTTGCTACACTCAAGTGGCCCCTCTTTTTTTTTTTTTTTACATTGTAAACGATTAACCGCAGAAATTAGCCAATTAGCCATCATTATGTTAAGTGATAGAAGCCAGACTCAGAAATTCAAGGGTCATATGTTTTTTCTCATATGTGGAAGCTAAAGAGAAAAAAAGGAGACACAAAAAAGAATGGGAGGATCTTATGAAAATAGAAGGTAGACCAGCAGAGCAGAGGAAGAGGACCAGAGAGGGGGAGGAGGGGAGTAAAAAGGGATCCACTTGGGTAATGAAATTGCCCAAATTATGTTACAAATATGTCACAGCATATTATTGATATGATAATCATGCACCAATATCAAAGTGGGGACCCAGTGTAACTGTACCCAGGGATGGGGGGGGCACCTAGAACAATACTTTGCCAGAGCTGAGACCTGATGGGATTCTACAAGATCATAGGGCCTGACACCTAGCCCACTTTTTCTTCCTCTCGCAGGTCATGAGTGACACTGAATATGCAGAGTGGCTGAGAAATCATTTTTTAGCTGAAACCAGTATTGACAACAGGGAAGAATTACTAATTGAATCTGCTATGAGGCTGGAGAACAAACTAACATTACTTGGTAGGTAGACCATGCTGTGTTGCCTGCGGAGGATTTTGAAAAACATGGATCGTCTCTAAAACATTATTCACCAGTGCCTTTTTTCTTTTTTCACTTTAATAAATGTATGTGGCTCTGCTTCTCTTGTGCAGTCAAATATATACCCAGCTTCTAAGCCATTCCATTCTACTTTCCACTACAATAATCTAGACCTTTTATTTGATTAGGGAGGTTATTCTTAAGAAGGTCATTTAAACTCCAACACCTAACAGAAAAAGCCAAACAAATACCCTGGCTCAAGAAAAGATGGGGAAAGTTTTTTGCCTGGCATCGGTTAAGGTGCTTAATATGTGTTGTCTTTTTAAATTCTCACCTGAATTTCTATCTTATTTAGAAAAAAATGGGGCATAGAGAAAGCAGTTCAATGATTTGTTCAAGGTCACATGTTGTTTACTGACAGTTAGTTACTAACTAACCAAACATGAAACTCAGGTCTGCCTGGCTTCAGGTCTATGTTCTTTATTCTGTGCCTATACCTGTAACAAATCTAATAAAATCTATTTCTCTTCTCTAACTTCCTGATTTCAACCAAAATTGCACAAAAGACAATACCTCTTCTGTCAGGTTGAGCTGTATCTTGGAATAAGCTGAAGAGCTTTAAATAGTGCTGATGCCTGCTCTTATCCCCAGGAATTCCGACTACATTGGTCTGGTGTGTGACCTGGGCACTGGAACTTTTAATATCTTCCTAGCTGATTCTAAGGGACAGTCAGGTTTGAGAACCACTCCCTTAGAGTATGGAGATCCACTGTCTAATGAAATCACTAACACAGTAAAAGACCAGCTTCTGAGTTCCATTCCTTTGTTTAGGAGTAAACAACAATTTCCATATCTATTAAAAAGAATAATGATACCAATTCCTAAGTAATTTCTCTATGACACTGTAAGTAGCATAGGTCCATATTTCCTCATCTGCAATTCCAAAATAAAAAATGCTCTGAGGGTTTCATGCCAAAACTCATTTGACAGCAAAATCAGGCCTGATTTGATGTAAGACTATTTATAGTATTTATTATCCTAATTAGCATGAAAACTTGTAAGATTTCCTGTAGAAATATTAATATGCTTGATTACCAGGTATCACAAAGTAGGGTAAATGTGCTATATTACCTTTATAAAATCTAAAAGCTTCTGAAATCCAAAACACAAATGGCCCCAATTGTTTCAGAAAGGGAAATCTTGGACTTACATAATGAAACTGCATTGCAAATAGACATTACATTTTATTGGAAAAAGCATTTTTAAAAGCCTGTCTTTATAATTTGCAGAACAAGATTATGTAAATAATTAAATCAAACCCTTAAATGTATGGATAAGAAAGCTAGCCGAAAGGAGAACAAAATATTGGTCTGGTTTTTGATAAACTCATCAATCCCCTAAGCTTCCCTCCCCAAAATATTCCTTTGTATATGACTTTCATCTGGGTTTTCACATCCCATTTGGATCTCTGGACAGTCTGAATAGTTAGGGATTGACTTAGTTAATGGTAGATAGGATTCCATTATAGACAAGTTAAGCTTCTTCTGGCCTTGGTTTCTTATAAGCCTTGTACTTTGACTATTTTTAGGTGCTACTGGCATTGAAGACCGCCTGCAAGAGGGAGTCCCTGAGGCCATAGAGGCCCTTCATAAAGCTGGCATCAAGATCTGGATGCTGACAGGGGACAAGCAGGAGACAGCTATCAACATAGCTTATGCATGCAAACTGCTGGAGCCAGATGACAAGCTATTTATCCTTAATACCCAAAGCAAAGTATGTATGATGAGATTAAACTAATCCTATTCTTTTCAAAACCAGTGGAGCATTTGGAATTTGATGTACATAAGGAGAAAGAAAAGCTGATAACTTTTAACTTCTTGATATTTATTCTATCCAGAGACCTAACTTGTATTTGGGGAGGATGTTATTGTTTTTTCTAAAAGATTGGTGGAGAATCATAATGATTCAGAGGAATCATTGCTGGATAAAGGCATTAGGAATATCCTATTTATTTTGATTTTATTTTTTCCCACTCCCTACTGAATTGCCAGGGATTCAATAAGACATCCAAAAATAAAAATAAAAAAATACATCAAGTCCTTGGATAGGAATCTATTTCCCTTTTAAGTGGAGGGGAAGTGATAATTTCTGTTAGAATCAGGTAAATAAATATTTTAGGATCATTCTAAAAATAGATGCTCAGTGTAACCATGCCCTCTAGTGGTAGTTCTTAGGTAGTGCTCCTCAGAATATTACCAATGAACTGTTGAAGGGGAAAAAGTTGTTTTTGAAGTAATTTAACAGATTTAGACCCAGCCTTTTCTTTCTTTATTTATTTATTGTTTGGTCCCTAGTTTTGTTCAGAAGAATTGTAGTATAGTATCTTCCAAGATCTGTGGCTACTATTTATTTGGCTTGGGAAATCCTGTCCCCTTCCTCCTTCCTAATTGAGTCTTAGCCATTAGCAACATGCCATGACAGCAGCCTCTTCCCTGACGTTGTCCAGAGCTTCCCTTGGAATCACATCTGAATCCTACGTCACAAGGATGCCACAAATGGTCAGCCATGTTTTTATGGTAGGCCTCCATTAGTCTTGGCTGGATCATACATTTTGAGGATAGAGAATTCTCCTTGTTCAATACCGAATGGAATCTCGGCAGGCAGTGGACCCATAACCACAGCCACCAGCCAGGGCCCTGTACTGTCAGGAGGCTGAGTCTAAGAAAGTGCTAGTCATTTTAGTAATTAAAAATGGATGTGGCCTAAGTGGCTGGTGAGACTGGGGGTCAAATGCTTGCCTGCACTGACCAGGTATCTTTGGAGGTGACTTACTGTCCTGAGCTGCTTTTTCCTTACCTGTAAGATGAGACAATGCCTATGTCATAGGGTGGTTATGGGCGTTAAATAAGAAAATATAGATTGCTGAGAGGTTTAGTGAATGCGAGATAAATCAATTATTGCTGTTTGATCTTGAAGTAGAAATTTTTTAAAGATGAAGAAATTTATTTTATCTTGATTTTAAGTACAATAGATAGACATTATTAAACATTCAAATAATATAGAAAACTATAAGAAGAAGTTAAAACAGTAGAATTCTCCCTCAGAGAAAACTTCTGTTGACACTGGGAACATCCTCCTTCCAGATAGTTCTTGAGTCTGCATACATGAAATTGCACACGGTGTCGCATGCCTGATGGGCCTAGGGTTTCTTGTGGACATTTGTCAGGGGAAGTGTTTTCTATGTCTATGACAATAGACTTGTGGAACCATGTCATGGGAGGCAAGGTATAACATGGCTTAGCTAGCTCTTTAAGATCACCCTTCTCAACCAAGGATGAATTGTGCCCTAAGGGATACTTGGCAGTGTATGGAGACATTTGGGTCATCACAACTGGGGGAAGGAGGGTTGCTACTGTATCCAGAGGGCAGAGGCCAAAGTTGTTACTAAATATCTTACAATGGACAGAATAGCCCCCCCCCAACCAAGAATTATGTAGCCCAAATGTCAGTAGTGCCAAGATTGAAAATGCTTTTTAAGTGGTATCATTTTTTGGAAGTAATACATATAACCAAGAGAATCAGTCAGCTAGTGTATACTGGCATGGTTGTGCCTGTGAAACTTCTAAAATACTCTGTGCTGGTTTTCTTTCTTTTCCTTTTATTTATTTATTATTATTTTTGGTACTTTTACAGATTCTTAAAAAATAATTAAACTTATTTTTAAACAGATACCTAAAAACATAAAAATTGTATATAGTAATGGAGTGTTTCATGTATATACCATGTACATGTTACATAATGTGTATATTAAATATTACCTAATATATATATAAAACGTATATTTTTGGTAATGTTTAAATAAGGCTAAATATTTCTATACAAATATTTATCATTTGTGGTGAAAATATTCAAAATCTTATAATTTTTTGAGATGCATATTATAAAATTGTTATCTAGTGACTTAGTTTTATGAACTGTGAAAAAATAGGATTATGAAATCGACTTATTTATAAATATATAACTTTCACCAGAAGGCTTTTAGACTACCAATTTAAGAAATATTCAGTGACTATCTACTGTAGCTAGTATTATTTGCTACTGATAGCCATTCCACATGTGTGGATTTTCCAGATAACTAAACAGAACACAATGAACATGATTTATATTTTTATGAGCAGAGGCACAGTCACTAGTATTTAATTTCCTTCCCTTTTCCCTACCCCCACCCCTCAGGCATCCTAATTGTTAAAAAAGATTTGAGGGTTATGCAATCTAATTTATCATTTAGTGAAAGAATTACCTCTGTAACATTCCATGTGCCCACCTGCCACTCAATGAATGGATGTCTGAAGTTATTTCTGTGGCTAAGTTTTACAAATTCCCATCAACTTTGCTCCTCAGTTTGCAAAAGCATAGTCTCTCACCAACCTTACTTGGTTTCCATTCTTATAAAAGTTTTTTTTTTTTCTTTATTTGTTCTCATATAATTATGTCCTGGGTTATTTTCTGCATTAGGATATATAAAGAACTCTCAAGAGTCTTTGTTTAATTTTTTAAGCTTTAAGTTTGTAATTTCATTTCAGTTTTTTTACCCTAATAATAGTAAGTTTTTATCTTTGTAATGTTTATTAAAAATTATAAACAGATTTACATACATGATCTCATTTGACAATTATAACAAATGGACAAAACAGATGAATTGTCTCATTTTATATAAAGCCAGAGACTTCAAAAATTGTGAATTCTCTGAGTACCCCCAACTGATTGCTCATCAAGCACGGACTATATGTTAAATTTCCAGATTCCCATTTCAGTATGCTTTCCTATTCTTTTATAGATTACACATTATACGTACAGAATTAGTTCTCATTATTAGTGGAAGTATGTTTTATAGAGTTATGACAAACTCTGAATTAGGGAAGACTGACTCGTTCTTGGAGGGAATATAAAGTTAGCTTCCTATAGGCCTCTGGTCATGACATTTTATTAGCTGATGAATACACAACTTTGTTTTGTGTATGTTTCTGTTTAGTGACAGGCTTATTTCATATATTGTATTAATTTATTAACATTAGATGCTTGGGCAGCAGCGCTAGACTTCTCACCTGGACAAAGCTTAGCTGATACACGTAATTTCTCAATAAAGCACATCACAGCCTTTGCGTGCTAAGGAGTGGGACAGAACTATAGTACTGATTGAGAGCCATTTAAATAGCAAAATCAGCAACAAAAAGAAGAACAATTTAAAAGAAAAAAAACAACAACATGCCATGAGAAGCATCAACTTGTTCAGCTTCATCTGGGGATGTACACATCACATGATTCAAACGCCACTCTGTGCAGGTCAACATGTGACTACAAAGCACTGAAAGTATTAAATGTGGGATTACAGATAAATTTGAACTAGGAGGTTCAAATTTATCACAAATGTGAATCCACAAATAATGAAGGTTATATGTGTGTTTCTGTGTGTGTTTCTGTATTATTTTTATCATGAAAATAGTTAATTTGTAAAAACCAAACATACACCCAAATAAAAGAGGATAAAACATCCATAATCAGTTTATAACCATATTTTGATAAATATTCACCTAGATTCTATTCTATGTGCTACAAGCATATAATTTACAGTCTATACTTTCATAATATTGTGTCTATTTTTTTCAGTTATAAACATCATATCTGATTCTTTATTGTATACTTTTTCTTAATAGCTTTGGAAGTACATGGAATCAAATTTGTTTTAAGATAAAGGTTGCAAGGGAGCTCCATTTCATAGTTGAATCTTGTCTTAGTGCATTTAGTGTTCTTATAACAGAATACCCAAGGCTGGTACTTTATAAAGAAAAAGAAGGTTTATTTAGCTCACGGTTCTGGAAGTCCAAGAGCATGGTACCATCTGCAGCTCCTGGTGAAAACTTCATGCCAGATAGCATCACACAGCAGGAGTGCATATGAAAACAGTGAGTGTGGAAGAGTTCACCTGGCAAAGAGGAAAAACAAACGTGTAAGGATGGGCCAGGCTGACTCTTATAACAACCTGTTCTTGAGAGAACTAATCTGTTTCTACTAGACCGAAGCCATTCAGAAAGACCAGCATTAATCTCCTCACAAGGATAGTAATGACCAGATCACCTCCCACTGGGCCTCACCTCTTGGAGATCCTATCACCATTCAGTACCATTACATGGGGGAATTAAGACTCGGTGTGAGTTTTGGTGGTGACAAACTATATTCAAAACAGCAAATCCCTTCTTTATAATTTATGTGGTTATTAAATCTTTGCTGTCTCATCCCTACATATCCATATATATTTCTTTCTTCCTCCTCTTACTTTGTTCTGAATTGAGAAATGTTTGGTAGAACATTTAAAATCAGAGAAAATAAGCACTAAATGAAGGACTTTTTCATTAATGAACTATTTTGGGATTAATATATACATTTAAGTATATCACTGGATTTGGGCTCTGTCCTTTGTGGTCATTTAACACAGTAATTTCCAGATAAGTTTATGGTTAGTTGTTGGAGACAAGCTCCAACAGGGGGTCTCAGGAGACGAACGGATGGTGAGGAGTCGGCGAAAGAGGGGTGGAGAAACAACACAGACACCAAAGTGAAGGTGTTGATCCCAATCTTTACTTGTGAAGTTGATCATATATACTTTTCATTTTGGCAGGCTCACAGTACTTTGTGGTTACAAAACAGGAATCATTATTCAAAGAAACAAAATATTACGTAGCTACAATTAGAATAGAAGAATGTATCTTGGCTTATGCATAAGCAAGCATTTGTACTTTCAGTTCGAGTTTTGCTTTGAGCTGTTTCTGCTTAGTTAACTTTTAATAATAGTTACAAATGTCCCAAACTATTGGCCTATACCTTGACTATTCTTTCTTGACTTTCTGACAGTGGCATGGTTACGGCAAGTGGTTGACTTGTTATTAATTTTAATCAAACAAGAGTAAGAGCACAAACCATTGTGCACAGGAACAAGAACAAGTTGCCCAGTACCAAGCACTAATCTGTCTTCTTAACATTAATTCTTCTTCTCTAGATTTTAATTTAATTTCTCAAAAACTTCCTTGACAGGAATACAGGGAGTTTTTCATTAGACATTAACAATTTACACTCCACAGCTGAATCATTGCATTTAGAGCAAACAGATCTATTCTTTAGAAGTAGTTGCATTAATTGGGAAAGTCATGTTTTTTCCTTCATACTTAATGGTCATATGAGAAATCGCAACTATACTTATTAAAGGAATACAAAAACAAATCAGCCCATTCCCAGAAACATACTGCACTCCTCCCGAGAATGGACGCCTTGCGCCATCCACCTCAGTAGGGCCTTGCCATTGCCTGAGTCAGGGGAGGGGTGCAGCAGTTAGTCTTCTTGGCTTCAGAAGAACTTCTTCACTAGTGTAGAATGTAAGCTCCACGAGGGTGGGAACTATTGTGTTCATTGATGCATCCCCAGAGCCTAGAATGTTTTCTAATATGCAGTTGCTCAATAAATATCAAGCGAGTGAATGAATGTGTTGAATCAAAAAAAAAAAAAAACTTTCTATTTCATGTATAACTGATTAGAACTAATTTTTTAAAAAAAGAAAATAAAAATGATTTCGTTTTAAATGTCTGCTGCATTGTACCTTATACTAGGAGTTTTTCATGTGTTATTCACTGAGTTCTCAAAACAGTATTAAGATAGATGTAACACTTGCATTTTTCAAATGAGAAAGTAGAGACTCAGAGAGGCTTGCCTAAGATCAAGCAGCTAATAAGTGGCAGAATGAGACCAAAGGACTCTTGTGGTTAACTGAGAAATTAAATTATTAACCACACTAATAATTTTGCATTTTATATAGACACTGCAACTGTAGAATTGGGGGTGAGATGCTCCCCGCATCCTTTAACTCATCCCCACATACACACAGAGTTCTTGGAAGAGCTGTGAAGTCTCTGAAAATACCCGAGGTTGCCTCGATTCTGCAATTGCCAAAGAATGACAATGGAAAATGTAGCTGGCTCTCCAACAGAGCCCCCAGGTTAACTATCTTCGTCTCTTGGTTCAAGGATGCCTGTGAGATGCTGATTGGCACAATTTTGAAAGAACTTCAGAAGAAGCATTCAGTCCTTCCAGAGCAAGCATCTTTAAGGGAGGACTTCCGTCAGACTCCTGTCCCTCAGGACTCAGGGCCACGGGCTGGACTCGTTATCACTGGGAAGACCCTTGAGTTTGCCCTGCAAGAGAGTCTGCAGAGACAGTTCCTGGAGCTGACTGCTTGGTGCCAAGCTGTGGTCTGCTGCAGAGCCACACCGCTGCAGAAAAGCGAGGTAGTGAAATTGGTACGCAACCATCTCCGGGTGATGACCCTGGCCATCGGTGAGTGGGACAGATGGAGCTCAGCGCGTTCCTCTTTCACGCACAGCAGTGGCTGATCTTCCTGCCTGTCCGTTGTTCTGTATGCCTGCCCTTCTGTCTGTCCTTTTTCTTCCACACTTTCTCTCCCCTTTTTCTCCACATCCCTTTATCCCCTCCATCTCCTCTATCTGTCCCTTCATCTCTTATTTGACCACCTGCTCTGAACCAGATGTTAGGCATGTGACACAGAAAACAATATAATAGTCAGGACTCCTTGGGATCCATGGCAGACCCCCAACTCAACAGTTAAGCAGAGTGGAACGTTGTCTCTTAGAACTGAAAAATCCAGTTCTACCTTCAGGAAAGTTAACTTCAGGTTCATGAACAACTCATTTATTTAAACATCCAACAAATATCTACTGAATATCTTCTTTATTCCAAGCTTTTTTCCTAGACAGTGGAGAAATAACAGTATATAAAATTGACCAAGTTCCTTTTGTTAAAGAGCCTCCATCTCGTAGGAGGATGTACAGAAGAATAAATGAACAAAAGACACAAATGTGGAAGCTATGAGATAGGGACAAATGCTATTGGGGGAAAAATGGGGAATGTGGACCATTAGAGATGGTGAAAGGGGTTAAAATTTCAGAGAAGGTCTCACTGCTAAGACGGTCTGTGAGCAGACGTGAGGGAATGATAAGGGAGCTATAGAAGATCTGGGGGAGAACTTTCTTGGCAGAGAGGATGACAAAAAAGCCGTGAAGTGGACCATGTTTTCTGTGTCCAAGGCCAGAGCAGATTAGCAAAGGGAGGAGATTTCTGAAGGTTACTAAAGGGTAAAGAAGTTTCATAAAGGGCAGGTGGCCAGATCTCAAGGGTCAAAACGGCCACTATAAAATTTTGGCTCTACTCTGAAGAGATGAAAAGCAAGTAGAATATTTCAAGCAAAGATGGGACCTGATCTACCTTAAGTTTAAAGAATCTTGTTGCCTGCTGTGTGAGAATGATTGTTAGGTTACAAAGGTAAGGAAAATGGTAGGATACTGAAATAATTCAGGGAAGAGCGATGGCGTGGGCCTAAATGGGAGCAAACCAACAAGGTTTAAAGAAAAAGCTGATGACGTATGCTGATGAATTGGTTGTATTACATGAGGGAAAGAGTTGCCAAAGGGAATACCAAGTCTCAGTCTAAGAGTAGAAAGAATAGGACCACCATTTACTGAGATGGAGACAGAGGGAATTAGGAGTTGGGTCTTAACACTTGTGAAGTTTGAAAAGTCCATTAGGTATGTGAGCAAATATGTTAAGTATGCAGCTAGAATAAAGGTCTGGAATTGAGCAGTAAGGAATTGAATAGAGATATAAATTGGTGAATCTGAATTCTGGTAAATATCAGAGCGCTTGGTATTTATTGTAAGACCAGCAAAGAATGAGTATACATGGAGAGAAGTGGTATGAGGTGAAGTTGTAAGATACTTAAGTATTTAGATGAGAAAGGGTGAAATTCTGTTGGTTATCTTGTTGAACAAAGATATAAATAAATGAATTATTCAAGGTACCCCTGAAGCTAGAATCCCTGGACTTTATAATTATATTAATTAGGCTGAATCATATGCCCATGATTGAACAATCACTAAGGCCAGGTAATAAAAATATGTTGATTTCCAAATCTGGGTCAGTTTCCCACCCATAAATATGAGTGTTTTGATTCACTCTTACAAATCACATGAATGCAGAATTCCCAAAGAACATCAGGATGCTATTACCAGAAAACATATGAATGATTAGCAAGCTGATATTTAGGAACAATATCAGTTCATTACCAGCAGGAGTGTAATACCTCTTTCTAGGAAGCTCCCCATGTTGGAGGAGACCAAAAAAAATCTACATTTAACCATAATGTCATGTGATAGGTATAATAGAGATGTACAGGGTGGTACTAAAGCCTAAGGAAGGGGCATCTTATCTAAAAGGAATAGGAGAAGTTTTTCCCAGAGAAAATCATGTCTAATCTGAGATTAAGAACAAGTGGAATTCATCAAGAGGATGTGGTGATGATGAAGACAGTATTATAAAAAGAGAGAGAGAGAGAGAGAGAGAGAGAGAGAGAGAGAGATGTCACCTGTGTAGAAGGAGCAGATAAAGCTGGAGAATTGAAAGCAGTATGGGTGGCATGGAAATAAGGGATATTTAGTTGAGGTAGGTGTATGCTATAACATGAAGGACCTTAAGACACTATTGAGTTCCAAACTCTTCAGTGGGATGCCACATTTAATTTCTGCTTAATTAGCGTCCAGGTAACTTGGGGAAATGGAATAAACCTTGAAAGCTATTTTTTTTTTCACATGCATAGCCTCTACTGAATTGCAAAGTATGCATCTTTATTCCTCATGTGTTTCTCACCTTTTCTCCTGTCTCATGAAGGTGATGGTGCCAATGATGTTAGCATGATACAAGTGGCAGACATCGGGGTTGGGGTCTCAGGTCAAGAAGGCATGCAAGTGAGTAGATGTTGTGCATCCAAAGACCATGACCTTGACCTGCCTATCTGAGGGCAACCTTCTCCATGGTAAAATGAGGCTATGTGGTTAGCTAAGAGTTGGAAACTGGAAATGTATCGATTCATTCATGGATTATTTACAAGATGAATGTACAGTATTTTCCTGGGGAATTTTAGTTGCGTGGGTCGTTGTTCTGTTTTAAAAATAGAGCATATTTAAATCATGGGATTTTATTTTTTAGCCCTACAATAGCTTTGTAAATTCTGACACTGAGGAAAACCATAAGAATTTGAATAAATATATAAATATATAAAGATCTTGAGGATGAGTAGGGAAGGGAAGGGAAAGGGGAGGATGTGAGAGGGTTAGGAGGGAGATGGGAGTATCCTATTTGCCTGTGTGTATATGTGTGTGTGTGTTCCTTCATATTTTAGGCACAAACTTCAGATAAAAGCGTGTAATCTGAAAGACTATATTTAATGTATGGATCAAGGGCTGTCAGCAGAAAGTGGAATATTAGAGCAGGGTTTCCCAAGAATTATATATGACAACATCTCCATGAAAGATGAGAGCTTTGGATTCTTCTTTGCTTGATCCATTATACAAAGGTGTAAGAAGTCCTGACTGCAAGAGTTTTTAATATTTTCTTCACTCAAGAGAAGCAAAAACATGGGCTGGGGTTGTGACTCAGCGGTAGAGCGCTTGCTTAGCACGTGCCAGGTCCTGGATTCGATCCTCAGCACCACATAAAAATAAATAAATAAAGATATTGTGTCCAACTACAACTAAAAAATAAATATTGAAAGAGAGAGAGAGGCAAAATCATATTGTAATGCAGAAGACAAAGTTCTTGCTAAGGGACCTGATTTCTATTGCATACTAGGAACCAAAGTCTTATTTCATGTGACCATTTCAGAAAGTGTAGAATTAGCTTTGTATATGGTTTTGTTTTGTTATTGCTGCTGCTGTGTGTGTGTGTGTGTGTGTGTGTTCTCTTTTTATTTACTTGCAGTGTAGATTTGATTAGTTGGAGTGTAATGGGGGTCAGGCAGTCTGTGCCAGGCTGTGGCTGTTGTAACAGGTTCTGTTGCTCAGGGTGGCCTTCTCTCCCCATTGCATCTGCAGGCTGTGATGGCCAGTGACTTCGCCATTTCTCAGTTCAGACATCTGAGCAAGCTCCTTCTTGTCCATGGACACTGGTGTTACACACGACTTTCCAACATGATCCTCTATTTTTTCTACAAAAATGTGGTATGTAAGAATTTGTCCCCTCCCCATCCCCCAGTTTTAATCCTGGTTGTATCAAGGACAATGGAAGTGTCCTAGGCTAAGCTCACATTGTTGGTGTTTGGGGAACAAGCAGAAGCAGTCCTGCTGTCTTACCAGAAATAATCTGGGAGCGTGTGTGTTTGAACTGCTGACAGCAAATTGCAAGGCCTGTCCCTGGTACTCCCTATGCATTTGAATTCAATTAAGTCCTGTCTGGTTCATTTAAAATCCAATTTTTGGCCTTCTATAAAAAGATTCTGACAAACAGAATTATGAAACATTCAATGCTGACAGTATAAAATGAAAAGGTTTGCTTCCATTTTACTGGAGATAAAAAAAAAATATCTGCTGTCCCCAATCGATGTCTCCTGTGGTGTACTAGAGACAGATACAGATGAAATCCCATATCATGTCCAGCCTGGAGCAGGCCACACTCACAGCCTTGGGAATTTTCTATCCAGCTTATGTAGTCTGTTTGGGCTTGATAGTTACTTAATAGTAATGGACCTTTCTGTTGATTATGTAACTCCCAACAGGGCAGAATTTGACTGGAAGTTCTAACTTCTGTTCCTCAGCATCTCATTTATATTTCTTTTCCTTCTTATAAAATCAGGTTGACTTCACGTTGATTCACTTAGATATCTTGTTAGTGGGCTGATTATATAAATACATCTGATTTTTAGGCCAATTCCATCTTTAAAGTCCACATGTAGCATGTAAGTAGTAGACTAGTTTATATCACTCTATTGAAATACCATCTTTAGACAAAAATAATGGGTCATTTTTAAGATATCCCAATATTTCTCTCTCTCTCTCTCTCTCTCTCTCTCTCTCTCTCTGTATGTGTGTGTGTGTGAGAGAGAGAGAGAGGAGAAAGCAAGGGCAGGAATGTTTTTTTTTCATATGGCACAATGAACTTTTTAGGAAGTTCTTTACTAAGTCACATTAGCACATTTAGTCAAAGTTTAATTATACTCAGACACTTTATAAAAATATTTGAACATAGAAAGTCTCTGCCTCAGTTTATGATTCTGGGAAAAGTTATGACTTATAATTTAAAATTTTGACTTAAATGTTCCATGATTTTTAGAAAGCAGTCCCTCTTCCAAGTTTTTATTTTTTTAAATACTTTGCTTATTTCTACCTTTTTCCTATTGTGATGCAAGCCACTCCTACCTCCCTGCTTTTATCCTGAGATTAAACCCAAGGGTTAATAAGCAGAAATAATAGAAAAAGAAACTACATGTTCTTGGAGACGAAGGGCACTTTAGTTAGTGGAGTGCACCTCCAGGGAATTAAGACCTGCCATTTAGGCTTTGTAACCCTTAGATACTCATTTATACTGATATCCTATAGACTTGATTTTTACTTCTTACTTACCTAGCTAATCAGTGGATATTTTATAAGCTATGGAGAAATGAACCAGGAATAGAAGCCATTAAAATAGCTTATCTTTTTGAGATTGTATTTCTTGGGTGTCAGGCTTTTGAGATATTGATGAAGACTGTGGATCCATATCCCAGGGTAATGTATCAAGCCATGTGTATCTACTATGTTTATCTTTTCAGGATCCAAGCATAGTACATGTCCCCACACTACAATGAAAGTCTATTCTAAGAATTGTGGCCCTCGATATAAGGTTCTCGTGTATCCGTGATGCCAATGTCATCTTAACATTTGTAAGACACTTCACAAAGCCTGAATACTTTCTAACTTGATCTTGATGTTAAGTCCTGGGTTGATGTAATCCTCATTTTACACAAGAGAAAACCAAAATTTAGAAATATTGGGAAAATGGCCTAAAGCTAATCAATAGGCAGTATCATTAGGCCTTGAAAGAAAACCCTCTGAACCTAAGCCCAGTGTCTTTTCCTTTGCCTTACTCAGTTTGAGAGCTAAGAGCTTTTGGTACTGTGGGCTTGGTTTGTCTGAGAGGACGTACTGGTAAGACCATGTAGGTTGCATATGCCTGGCTTCTAGAGCACCCTATTGGTCAGGTTTGCCTGGGACTTTCCAGTTTTAGCATGAGGGTCTCACTGCCTGGGAATCCTTCAGTCCCAACTGTACTGGGATGGTTGGCCACTCTGCTGGTACCATCTCACCACTGAGAAATAACTATGAAAGCAGAAAACAAGAAAATGAACATTTGTGCAGTACCTGCTCTGTGCCAGGCACTGGGGTAGGTTCTCTTCATCTAGAACAAAAATGTCTCAGTTGATCACTGACTGTCATTCATCAGTTGGGTGGCTTTGGGTAAATTCCTTAGCCTCACTGTGCCTCAGTGTCTGTCTGTTCAGGTTGTTGTAACAGAACACCAAATATGGATGGCTTATAAACAACAGAACTTTACTTCTCACAGTTTCTGGAGGCTGGAAATCTGAGATCAGGGTGCCAGCATGGTTGACTTCTGGTGAGGGCTCCCTTTTGGGTTGTAAACTCCTCAAGGTGTCCTCACATTGTAAAGGAAAGTAAGAGCTCTCTCGAGTCCATTTTATAAAGGGCACTGATTCCATTCACGGGGCTCTACCATCACGACCTACTTATTTCTCAAGGGTTCAACCTCTTGATACCATCACACTGGGGATTAAGATTTGAATATATGAATTTGGGAGTGCACAAACATTTAGTTCTTTGCATTCAGTTTACTCATCTGTAAAATGGAATAAACGAATTCCCAAGTTGTTATGAAGATTAAATGAATTATTTGTAAAGCATTTGGAATAGTGTCACCAACACATACTAAGTGGTGTTGTGTGTATATGTGTGTGTATGTGTATGTGTGTGTGTGTGTGTATCTTTATTTTAGCTTAAAAACACATTTACCAAAAAAAAAAAAAAAAAAAAGCCTGCCACGCAAGTTGTGGCCTTGCCTTTCTGCAGAGCAGCTGAGGTTACACAGCTCAAAATTGCAACACATAGAATGTGTGGTGGGCTTGGATTGTGGCTCAGTGGTAGAGGGCTCACCTAGCACGGGCAGGACCCGGGTTCGATCCTCAGCACCACATAAAAATAGAGGAATTGTGTTGTGTCCGTCTACATCTATAAATAAATAAATAAATAAATAAATATTAAAATTAAAAAAAAAAAGAATGTGTGGTTACAGTATGCACTGCCGTTTCTAAGGTCATGTTTCTCTTTGTGTCCATAGGCCTATGTGAACCTCCTTTTCTGGTACCAGTTTTTTTGTGGGTTTTCAGGAACATCCATGACTGACTATTGGGTTTTGATCTTCTTCAACCTCCTCTTCACATCTGCTCCTCCGGTCATTTATGGTGTTTTGGAGAAGGATGTGTCTGCAGAGACTCTCATGCAATTGCCTGAACTTTATCAGAGTGGTCAGAAATCAGAGGTAGGTGCCAAGGCAAAAAGGCTTAGATTCACCCCATGGTCAAAGCCAGTGTATTTGTCAGTCAACCCAGTCCAAATATTGCAGTCTACTCAGAACTATTTAAAATGTCTGATTTTTTAAAAGGATATCTACTCCAGGGCAGATACTAAATTACTCATCTCTGATATGAACATAGATAAATCAATTAAAGGCCTTGGTACTCATAAGAAGAAATCCCATGTTTGCAACCTCACAACTAATAATGCTAATACTATTTAGCATTTATTAGACCCTACTGTAACATTTATTCTGCTATTAAATATTCCAGGCTTTATTTATCTTAAAGAAAACCTTTTGAGATAGAACCCAGTATTGTTTCCATTTTTAAATAGGGAATCTGAACTTCAAAGAGGTTATTTTTCCAAAAATCAGACAGCTAATCCCTTGCTTCTATCATTCCCTCATTATCTCTTACATAGAGGACTGTAATTGCCTATTAAGAGGTAGGGGTCTGTCTAAAAAGTCTTTTCTTTCTAGTTCTTCTTTTATAAAATTAATATTAACCAACTTTAATATTGAATTTAAGAACATTTATACAATGTCAGGTACTATTCTAAATGCTTAACATGCATAAATTTAATTCTCAAAATATCCCTGCAAGGTAGGTGCTATTGTAATCTGTACTTTGCAGATGAGGAAAATCAAGTATAAGGAATTGCCTTTGGTAATCTGGTCAAGTCACAGAGCTAATGAGTGGCATAATTGAAGCCTGGTCTCTAAGCCCCTGCTGTCTACTTTTGTGTTAAGTGGCAGCAAGAACTCTGATGCTTCTGATGTGCTCTTTAGACCCTGAGTTTCCCACCCACGGTCAGAAATCCAAAGTGCTGTCACAAAAACATTATTAGGATTTCAGGGACTGAGCTGAACCAGGAGCTTTAGACACCTGTAAGTGGACAAAGCCAAGTGGTCTACCTGGTCCAATGTTCCAGGGTTGAGAAGAGAACTCTGTTCACCAGAGTTCTGACTAACATTTGTAAATGACCCCCCCCCCAAAATCATACATATATACATATATAAAACATATATGTAAAATACATATATGTATAGATATTTATATAGTTATATTAAATATTTATATTATCTAAGTGTATAATATATATATATATATATATGTATATATATATATATCTCAGATTAGCTTGATGGAAAAGGGAAATGGATTGGCTCATATAGCTGCAAAATCCAGGAGTAATGGTGATAGAACATTGTTATTCTTCAAGCAACTGTAAATTTCCTGGCTCTGACTCTTGGCCTAGCTTGTCACATGCATTTCCCTGTGTTTATCACTGTGCTTAGAAGGATCAGTTTCTTTTTGACCATGTCTGGGATAACCATCACTCCCCAGGACAGAGATGGACTCAATGGATTAAGACAAAGGGTTTGCTGTAGAAGTAGTGGACAGAACAAGTGACACATATCATAGGAAATCTGTGTGTTGGCTCCACTTGACATTGACATGGATCAGCATGTGTGAGATGTAATGGGTTCTATTTAACCGTATTTAGCCAGACCTCTCATTCTGGGTCTGTGGCATGTGACCAAGTTATTTAACTTGCCTGTGTTTCAGTTTATTTACTATATGGACATGATAGGAAGATTAAGGAAAAGAATACATGTAAAATTTCTAACCACATTCAGCTTTTCATATTTTTACTTTATTCCCCAGAATTAACAGAAACTTGAGGAAATGAGAAATTTGTAAAATGATGCATTTATTTTCATCAGTCTAACTTTATTTTTACTTGAACAGCCTTTCATGGAAGGGAAAATTACCCAGTATCTTTAGCTATCTGGAAGAGTTATCACAGGGAAGTCATATATTCAGGCTTCAGGAAGATCATCCAGCTCATTCAAATCAAGAAACTATATGGCATTTCCCTAAAGAAGTCCAGTGTGACTTAAAGTTCAAGGCCAGGATAACAGGATTTTATGGTTGATATTGGGTGCACCTTAGGCCTAAGTTAAATTAAAGTCAATTGGGGAAAGAAGAGAGGCTTTCAAACTTTCTATAGCTAGTGTTTTAGAAGCCCATTTGTACAGACTGAAGATTGTAACTGGTTCTTACTCTTGGGAAAATTGAACTCATTGTTTCCTGCTGTTGGACCCTGTTATCATTTCTCTGTCCACATTATTCTACTGAGCTAGCCTATTTTATAAAACACGATATAATAGCAGACAGATTCACAGCATTTGGCTATCAACAACAGGTAATTTCATTGACTTTCCTTCCAGAATGTGTCCTCTCTTTGAACTCGGCCTCTAAGCAAATTCAGCTTTATGTTTAGATCATTTCCTGTCTTTGGTGTCACAAAATGTACACTCCAGGGCTATAGAATCTCCTCAACCAGAAGAGTCTGGAAGTCTACAGTCAGAGGATCCCCTTCCAAGAAGCTATCACCTCTTCCCTATCTCTTATCACACTTTCCTTTTACTTCATGTTCAGATTTTCCATTTCTTTTTCCAGGAGATCCCATGAGTGAATCCCTCCAGTCTCGGATTTATCTTACCCTTGTCTCTTCTCTCTTTACTCCTGTTGTAAGTCCTCTTCTTCATGTGACCATGAGGAAGTTGTACTTTTTACCTTTTCAATCTCGGTTTTTTTGAACAGCCTCTCTTCCCCCAAAAGTGTGAAGTCACACTTTAACTTATCCCTAGATCTTTCTCTCTTGTCCAGTGGCATTTTGGTTGACTTCACATTGGTTATCCCTTTTTGTCCCTTTGTCTCTAACACATTCTCTTCCTCCATTGGACCGTGCTGCTTCTGGTCTAGGAGCAATGGACATGTGAAGAAAGACAGACAAAGTATCCCATCATTTCCCGTGAGGAAATAATAAGAGATACTGGGAAAACATAGAGTGGAAAATGAACCTCAGTGCTTTGATTTTCTAAAGGACAAAGAAGTATAGTTTTTTGAAGAATGGAAGAATGCATATGGGGAATTTGTATATATAAGGCTTTATTCTTCAAGAAGCAATAGACATTTCAAGGAGGTTTCAGATTCTGTTTGTACTGAAAGAAAACAAGGCTAAGGAAAACATATCAAGAAAAGAAGAACTAGTTCAGGAATATGACACACGTTTCCATTTTTTTCCATGGCACCTATCAATAACACACACCCAACACTTCCATGCTGGGTCTGAATGTACACAATCCATTTTCACACACATTAACTTACTAAGAATTGGCTCTTCTTTGAGGACCCATTTTCAATTATTTGACTAGTGTCTCTACTTGATCTTTCTCTCTTTTTACAAGCTTTGGGTAGGAAGCAGTTTAGTACATGAGCTATTATAGAATAGCTTATTATCCCAATAAATATTTGTTTAGTACCTACTCTGTACCAAACACTGTTTTGATTACTTGAAATAAGAGTCATAGTCCTACTCTACAAAATTTGCATTCAATAGAGATAACCAGAATTTCATTAAGTAAACAAATAAGATGATCTGTGATACTGATGAGCAATGGCTAAGGATGCCATGGTAGTAAGGGATGAGTGGGCATGATGTTTAGACTGGTGTGTTGTGCCTTTCTGGGGAGGTGGTATTTACAATAGGATATGGATAATGAGGAACCATAATGTGAGAAGAGCACAGAGAGAGAGAAGAGGACAGGAAGGAATGGATCTGGCATTAAAGTCTGTGCTGTGGGATAATAATGTAAGAAGTGATCTTGGAGACCTATTGTGTGGACAGACCATGCAGGACCCTATAGGTCCTGAGAAGGAACTTAAGATTGTATTAAGTTTGTATTGTATTGTAAACACAGCAGGAAGGCACTGGACTGACTGAAAGGAGTCAGTTTAATTAGTTAGGGAGATAACATGAATTAATTTACATTTTAGAAAGCCAACTGTCTGTTATGGGACGACTGGATGAGGGTAGGAAAGAGAGTAAAGGAGGCATTTAGATTGCTTTCCAGGCTTGTAGGGGAGCTGATGGCAAACTGGGTGGAAGATATAGAGAAGTAGGTGGATTTGGAGAAGTTTTCAGAATAGTACTTTCTGATCAATAGGAAATGAAAAGTTAGGATTACTCACCCTGCTTCAGGTAGATTTAAAATCAATCCAAAAGGGATTGGGGATATAGCTCAGAGGTAGAGCACATACTTAGCATGCAGGAGACCCCAGGTTTGACCCCCAGCACCAAAAGGAAATTGATCCAGTGACAAAATTAGATTTTAAATGAATTCAGTGAGCTTCATAATATTCTCTTTAAGAACTTTTTTTTTAAATCACATTCGACCGCCCTCATTTTTCTGCTGCTGTTGACAAGTCCCCCCCACCCCTGTTTTATGAGTGAAAGAATGAAGGAATAGAATTTTCTCTCAGAGAAGCAAAAACAAGCACTGGTTTGTGTTGTTTCTTGACTCTGTTTGACCCTTGCCCCTTGTCAGTTTTACTCCCTCCCTAACACACTGTGTCTTTTCCAGGCGTACTTGCCCCTCACCTTCTGGATCACGTTGTTGGATGCATTTTATCAAAGCCTGGTCTGCTTCTTTGTGCCTTATTTTGTAAGTATTTGATTAATGAATCATTCTTCCTTGTACTCTGGCTCCAGGATTAGTCTGTAGAAGTGTAAATTGCTCATAAAATCAGGTTGATTGTTGATTGACTAAATTCTAACCACCTCCTAAATAGTATGTTAGGTTGTGGATTAAATGAAATACCTCGCTGAATTCTCTCGGTTCTCTTCTTCTTCTTGTTAGTTTTTGTGATAATAGGATGCTAGCAAGTGGTCTACCCCTGAGCTACATTCCCAACTTCTTGGTTCTTGTTAGCTTGAACTGCTTAATAATATGTATCAATGATGTGAATAAAATTGAAGGTCTGACCATCTAATTAGATTAGTCAAATATCAGAGAGGCAAAGTTAGAATATGAAAGTTTTTATTAGTGTTAGGCTAATTATACCAGTATGACATCCGGAGTGTTAATAAGTTCCCATAAGTAGTCTCTTCAAAACTAAAAGACCCAATTTTACAGATAAAGAAATATTACTAAGCACAGAAGCATAAAATTAATGTTAAAAATTCAGCCTAACACCAAACACAAAGCAGCATAGATTAGCTGCCTATCTGCATACACCTCTTCCCAGAGGAAAACACTTACTCCATCATGGATGGTATTAACAAAGTACAATATTGGAAGTAAGAAAAATGGTGATCTCTAAGGTAGCAATTCTCATATTCGATACTCAAATTAAATCACTTGAATTAGCCTAACTAGAATAGTCTGGCTATTCTATGCTTCAAGAGGAACATAGACAAGGCCACCTGTAGTGTATTCAGAAGAGTGTGGTGAAGATAAGATTATTCATTTGAGGACTGGATGAAGTTGAGGACATACAGGTAGGACAGGGGGATATTTGCCTAGGAGAGGCATGGGCAGCCATAATAGCTGCTTCAAAGATGTATTAAGTGGAACGAATTTAATATTTGTCTGTACCTTGAAGAACTATAAATATGTGTAAGAGTTTCCAGGAAAATGAATTATGATTCAAATTACAAAGGAATCCCAACTGAAAAATTTAAAACTTAGATGACCTGTCTGAGAGGGAATCAGTCTCTCTTCTGGAAATGTTCATTTATCCTAAAAGACAGTTACTAGGAACATTGTAGAAAGGACTCAAGCCTGTGTTGAGCTGTAGTCGAGTGGTGTTGCTCACACCTTGGAGGTCTTTTTTTGTTCACCTGCTGCTGTCTTCTCCTGCAGACCTACCAGGGTTCAGACATTGACATCTTTACATTTGGAAACCCCCTAAACACAGCGGCTTTGTTCATCATTCTCCTCCATCTGGTCATCGAAAGCAAGAGTTTGGTGAGTGACTTTCCCGCTCCTGAGGTAACCTGAAGCTCTTTATGCTTAGGGATGTGTCTTCTATTAGCAGTGAACCTGCTAAACCCATCATGCTCAGAAGATTACATGCTCATGAGAAGAGAGTGATTCCACAGTAGAAGCTTGATTCACAGTTACTCTTGGTGTTCATAGAGTACCATAATGCCAAGGTTGAAATGTTGCTACTGGAAGTAGAAAACACCTGCCTGGTCCTCTTGGTAATATCAATGATGGATGGTTCCTGGAGGTGTGAGTCAAGCTGAGAAAATAATTATACTTCTATGGCCAACATTCTTCAAGATCAAGCTGACGTCTTTCAACTAAAATAAAAACAGATGTTGTGCCATAACCCTGATACATTGACTCTAGTAAGCAATGATTTTATGCCTTTATCATAATATTTTTTAAAAAAAGAAAACAACTATTTTTGCTCTTCCTTGTGTAAAACTCCTCAGTGGCTTCCTATTGCACCTGAAATATACTCTGAAAGCCCTGGAATAGCCTGTAAGGCCTCATGCAATGGTGTCCTTACTTCTGTCCCCAGCCTCATTTTCACTTATTTGAGGGCTGGAACCATATTATCTCTTTTTTCAACTTCTCAGCTTCCTTGAGCTTCTTATCATATCAGGGCCCTGGCACTTACTGTATATTTTAATGGAAATATTCTTAATTCCCCCTTGTATCCATAAATTTTACCCAATTTGAATGTTATTTTAGGTCACTTTAGGTCTCAGCAAAAATGCTATTTCCCTCTAGAGCTTTTCCCTAAACATCCATTCTCCAATTTTCAGACCTATAGTAATAATTTATAATTATTCATTTAATTTTGATTGTCTGACTCATGTTTATTTTCTGCATTAGATTATAATTTTTTGTGAGGCAAGATTCATGCCTATTTTATTCACCACTATATACCAGTATCAGGGACAAAACTGGCACAGAATAGGTGTTCAGAAAATATTTGAATGGACAAATGAATGATGAATGAGGATTGGGGGTATATTCACCATCCTGGTAATGAATGGATTTCAAACAGGAAATAGCTGAATGAGGTTATGGTTTAAAATACACAAGGTTATATTTATCAGATTACTTTTAGCAGTTTTTCCTAAGTACAGTTGAATATTTATTTGTGGCATCTCTTGCTTTGCTTATACATAATCATCTATAAGCAAATCTTACAAGTCCAAAATGCAGTAAAGGTTAATATATGCAAATATCAGATGAGGTAAAGGGAATTCTAGAATTGAAATACTTGGAGTTATTTTAATATCTACTTCATTTTCAAGCAATTGCAGGGGAACTTTTAGCTACTGCCTAAGGTCATCTCACAGGCTCTGGCATTTGTAGTGTTTTTGAGAGACCAACACTTGACATGTATCAGCTGGGGTCCACTGATTATGAGCAACGACAAACTAATTAACCTGAGAAAATAAAACTTTCATTAAACCACTTAGATGGTTTTATGTTCATATAATATAAAGCAAGGCAAAGCAAAACCTGGAAAAGCCAGAGTGACTCTGGAGAGCCAGGGAATAGAAACCAATGGACATGCTTGTCAAGATGGCTCTGTGGTCTGAATTGGCTCCAGTCACTTCTGTTCTGCTCTTGCCTTACTGGGCTAGTCCCTGGTGATGGAATCCTGACTCCCTAGCTTCATTTGCAGGTTTTGGCTGGGGAGAAAGAAATAGGTTGCCAGGACCACACAATGCTGGGTGCCCTCTCCAAGAAGAGGAGTGAACGCTAAAAAAACAGCAACCTTCCTATGGAGAATGCATCATCAGAGAATTGTTTCTTATGCCAGAGCTCCTGGACTCCAAGGTCTTTTGTCATCAGTAGTCAGCAGTTCTGAGTGTGAAGCTCTTACTCCCTGTCTATGGCCACCCTCATCTCCTGATTTGTTTTTACCACTGTTCCTTGACATGAACTTCCTTCTGTCAATTAATTTAAATGTGTTAGCTCTATGAAGTCACTACCTCATTTGTCAAAAGCTCATCTTAAAAGAAAAAGTTGAGGAAATAGGGCTCAAATAGGGGGTAGGAAAGAAGGGAGGCATGGAAAGAGGGAGGGAATCAAGCTAAACATTTTAACTCTGGAGTGAACCACCAGTTCTTGAGCAGACTGTACATTTTACAGAAATGAGCAGTCACTATGACTCTTGTGATGATATCTACCATGGGGAAATACTTCACATGTTTAGGAGGAAAAAGAAGAAAATGTTGGACCTCGTTTGAAAATTATAGTCCTAGAAAATAAAAAAAAAGATAGTGACAGAATCATTGCCTTGAAAAGCATGACATAGCCACCAATAGTATACCCTATGATTTTAGACATTTCTGCACACTGCATTAAATAACATTGAATACTATATAATATGAAGGTGATTGTCCATCCATACTTAGGATTATGTTTTAAAAAAAAGAAGTCTGTTTGATACTGTTATGTTTTATCATGATTAGCTATTATCCCTTTGTAACAAAGGCCCCAGACTCAGCACCATAATAGATGATGCTGATAGTATATATTACATTTCAAGTAGTGAACTACCTTTCTGCCTAAATTAAGATACTTGATTAATTAGTGAGCCTGGTTTAAAGAAACATTGAGAAAAATAATATTGCAAGCTGCCGTGAATACAAAGATAACTAGATTGTAGTAGGACACAGATTTAGTTCTTGGTAATATAACATTGGCTGATGTTCCAGAAAGCCCCAGCGGCAATTGTCTCTCAAGGGTGGCTCTGAGGCTAAGGCTGCATCTCATAGCTGTACTACCTGGAATTGTTGCTAGAGGAAATTCATGGAAGGAAAGGAGACAACATGGAAAAATGTACATCAGCTCTAAATGCTTCTAACCTGAATACTTCATATATCCCTTCCTGTTCTCATTGCACTGGCCAAAGTAATTCCCATGGCCATGCTTAATGTCGTGGGAGAGGGGAGGTAGAATCCACTTGGATGCCTAGTGGTGGGCAACTGCAATGTCTACCACATGTGTAAATGACTGCAGTTTGCAGAACACTAGATTAAGGTATTACCTTAATGAAGTAAAGACCCACAAGTGACAATATGAAAAAAAAACTAAAAGAAAAATCCAAATATCTTCAGGTGCATGGACTATAACAAATAAACTGTCAAGACGATTATCTTTGGCTCTTGATTTAGTTTTTACCAGTTTTAACAGTGATAGAAGCCACTTGTGAATAAGGATCTTCTTGTATCTCGTCAGTATTTTGTGTGCTGTTTGCTAAGGTCCGTTGAACCCTTTCTCCCAGTGCTTAAAGATGCCGTTTCTTTAGTGTAGTAGATTTTGAGGGCTATGGCACCTTGCATTTCCCCTGCCTTCTTTTCTTGCAGACTTGGATTCACCTGCTGGTGATCATTGGTAGCATCTTGTCCTATTTTTTCTTTGCCTTGGCTTTTGGAGCCATGTGTGTAACTTGCAACCCACCATCCAACCCCTACTGGATTATGCAGGAGCACATGCTGGATCCGGTGTTCTACTTAGTTTGTATCCTCACAATCTGCGTTGCTCTTCTGCCCAGGTATTGTATTTGTTTTACCAGCAAGAAGACATGTGGACTCATGGGGTTGGAATCCTTGAAACAACTAGTAAGAATGGATGGTAGCCCACTCTGTTAAGTAGAGGGAAGTCATTCTGTGTGCTACTTAAAGTATTGGTTTCAAGTGTTTTGCTAGAGAACAAAAGTAGCTTAGGCAAACAACTGGGAGGTTTATTTTTCTCTTTTGGAAAATCTGATATGGTTGACAGTCCACAAAGACAGGGCAGCTTTACTTCATGAGCTTATCCAACAACCTAGATCCCATCCTCTACCTACCTTTCCTGCTGTTCTATCTCCCAAATCCTTGTCTTGCTTTTTTTTTTGTTTTTGTTTTTTTGTTTTGTTTTGTTTCCTGCTATAACAGAACACCACAGTCTGGGTAACTTGTAAACCAAACTGTATTGGCTCACAGTTCTGGAGACTGTGAAGTACAACATCAAGGCACCGGCACGTTTGGGGACTCCAGTTCCAAGATGACACCTTGAATGCTATATCTTCCCATGGCAGAGGTGGAAGGGCGAATCCACTCATGAGGGTGGAGCCCTCAAGGCTTAATCACATCATAAAGGTCCCACCTCTTAATATCGCTACAATTGCAATTAAATTTCAAAATGAGTTTTGAAGGAGACAAACATTCAACTCATTGCAGAATTGATCCATAATATTGAAGAGGATTTCTTATCAGCATATCCACATCTTTGCCACCCCTGCCCCCAAGAAGGGAAAAGTGAAAGGCTAGCAGCATTTTTCCATTTTCTTTTTTGGTGTTACCCAGTTGTTGTATGTTATTGCTCATATCCAAAATGTAAATCTATAGACTCTCAGGGACTAAAATCCAGAGGTTCTAAAAGGAAAAAGGGGAGAATGTACTGAAGGGCAGGTAGCAGTCTCTCTTTTTATTTTTTATACCAAGATTGAACTCAGGGGTGCTAGTCCACTGGCTACTGAGCCACATTCCCAGCCCGTTATATATTTTATTTTGAGACAGAGTCTCACTAAGTTGCTCAGGGCCTTGCTGAGTTGCTGAGGCTGGCTTTGAACTTGCAATCCTCCTGCCTCTACCTCCTGAACCACTGGGATTACAGGCGTACACCACTGCACCCTGGCATGGATAACATTTTTACTAGTTCTGTGGGGATTAGGTATGTGATTCATGGGTCCATTCAATCATTTCAATAGCATACAGAAAAAGATATAAGAAGGGCTTCTTACCTAATGGCATAAATCTCAATAACATACATCAAAGACTCACAAGAGTTTTGAGAATGTTTTATCTGTATACTCATGGCCAATTTGTTCTGCAAGAAACAAAGTTGTGACAAGTTTTTACAGTTGCCCTATAAAACTAATGCAAAAATGTAACATTTTTTTCAGTATTTATTGTATGCCAACACTTTGCCTGATTCTTCTCATTTAACTAAACCTATAATGTAGCAACTATGAATATCTCTACTTTCACAGACTTTATTTACCAAATGCTTATATGGCATTTAACTATTTTCTAATTGCTTCACAAATATTAATTCATTTTACTATTATTTTTAATCTCTATTTTATGATTCACTTAACATCCCCCCTATACCTCTAAAGCCACATAGACACCAGACTCTTTTACTTTTTCTAACTGGTTAGTATTTTTTTGTGGATACCATGATGACTTTGAGGTGAAAATAACTCTGTGATGTTCTTTGCAACCTAGGTTTACATACCGAGTTCTTCAGGGCTCCCTGTTTCCATCTCCAATTCTGAGAGCTAAGCACTTTGACAGACTAACTCCAGAGGAGAGGACAGAAGCTCTCAAGAAGTGGAGAAGGACCGGAAAGATGAAGGAAGTGACATCTAAGTATGCTGACCAATCAGCTGCCATATCAGGAAGAAGACCCACATCTGACCCTCCTGTTACCTTTTCAATGAAGTCAGCAACTTCTTGTGCTGTTGAGCAAGGAAACATATCTATATGTGAAACTGCTGTAGATAGAGGCTACACTGAAACTGAGGCCTCAGAGATGACTGGACTCTCAAAACATTAAGAATGCAGGGTACCCTCTTTGGAGCTACAAGTAGTTTTTCAGGTTTGGCAGAGAGATTTTAAAGAGGCACCTCTATGAAACAAGGAGTATTTGTGTTTTTATATAAGGGATATCAGCATTTTACTAGGCTTAGAATTCAATAATGACATGATGACCATTATTGTATGTATATACATTTGTAAAAGAGAGATAAGATTTGCCCTAGATGGAGTTTAGGAAAGTCAAATACATAATTCAGAATCAAATGCTTTTATGAAACTTTTTGGATTTTGTAAAAGTATTTTAATTGCCTTAGAAATGCAGACATTATCATGGGGTTCATTTGTGACTTATTTATTTCACTGGGAAATCTCATATTCTTGGGAAATGCTTCAAATAAGCAGATACCAATCTGGAAAATTTTTTAATTAAGCAAAAAAATCTAGATATATTAGTTAAGACAAGGAGGAGTTTTTCCATATTGAAAAAAAAACCTTTATTGTGATTTTTTTATAATTAATATTAATTATAGATTAATTCCCACAAACCTTTTAAGCAACCATGTACATAAAATACAGTAATAATCATACTGTTTAAAATATAGTTAGTGAATATTAATAGCTTTTTATTTCCTATGGGAAGATGCCTTTGGTCTTCTGACTATAGATGTTAGGCATACCTCTCTGCTCATCTCAGCGTTTTCCTTTTGTGGAGCATTTACAGGAGGTGGGTAGGAGAGATGCTAGCATTCCACTGGGTACCTGGGGTGTGTTCCTCTTAGCTTTCAGTCAAGAGAAGAGCTCTCATGAGGTCTCCCTCTGTGTAGATGTTGTCAGTTGGATACAGAAGCCATAGGTCAGGCAAACAGAATCAGCTGAGCCTATTTAGCAATTTCTAAATTCTAAAAATGACAATAGCCTCATCAAAATGAGACAATTTCAAAACAATGTTCCAGAGACCATTTAAGGGTTCCTACTTTTTTACAATTTCCAACAACTCTTGTGGTTTTGTAGACTGTAAAACATGAGCTATTGATTTAGACTCATCCAGATTTTTCTCCAGGAGTTTCCCTGAAGTTCTTAGAAAAACTTCTTTTTCAACACACTTGAGGATAGGAATGTCTATAGAAAAGTTTACTGCTATGACAAATCATTTATGTTGACTTTAGTTGGGACCAAGAGACTAGTTTAAACCAAGTCAGGCCAGGTGATGTTATTGTAAGATCATATATTCTTGTTGAAGTTCTTTTAAAATTCTATCTCTATGCATCTGAACATCATCCGTTAACAATCATCTAGAATTTCCTTCATGAAACGCCATGCTCATGTACAATATCTACATCAAGTTCTTGTTAATGACTATAAAACTATTATTCTCAGGGCTTAATCTACCTACTGCCTACTATCCTGGTCCTATATTTTTTGTAACCTTCTGTTATTATTGTTCGGTTGTTTTTTATATAGACTGATTTCTAAAACTTGTAAAATTTCATATAGCTAATGAAAGTCGCTTTCTGCTATCTTAAGATTTTTTTAAATAAACTATTTATACAACATGTACTGAAAAACTGTTGTCTCTCTTGTAAGTATACAGTAAATCCAACTGTAACTGGTATCAGAACTTAGAAGGAAAATCCCAGAATACACCTTTTTACCAGAAAATTGTTTGGGCCTTTTCTTATATTAAAAAACAAAAAACAAAACAAAACAAAAAACATATGAATAGAGAAAAATATTGAATACTCATGTTATGGAGCTACGATATTATACCTGAAATTCCAAAATTCCAAAGACTGAAAACTGAAAAAAATTTCATAAATTAAACATAGACTCAATGCTCTGAACAAATGTGAGGCTATTTTGTATATTTAATATAATCATTCAAATATTTTATTTATAAAATTAGTGTATTTTATTACTGGGTGCTAAATTATATATATATTTTTTTAATTTATAAAATTCTGAGTTTTGAAACACATCTGGCCCCTAAGATGAAAATATTTTGGGTCTACAGTAAGTTTTAAAGGGTTACATTTACAAGAAAATAACTCCTTTATATAGTTACCCACTGATGAGATCTTTGTGTTTTGGTATTTCACTATATTCTACCAAATTTGGAGGCAGGGGTGTCAAGCATTGTATCATTGTTCCTTGTAGCCCCCCCCCCAAAAAAAATTAATAATATTCATTTGGGGATTTAATTTTATTACAAAATATTTATAAAAAGAATTGGATCCGGTTCCTAAAATGTACTCTAGACATTAAAGATCTGTGTGCTCTTCCCAGGTCTGATGTTCTCAGTGGACACTCCATGAGTGATTTGAGACTACTAGCAACCTTCAATTTTAGACTAATAGGAATCACTGGGGTTTTCTAACAGGGCAGGTAGCTGTGAGAACGAAATAAAGAACAGGTACATTTTGGTTGATGGAAAACTGGGCCAACAATGTGCTGTTAAAGAGCTAAAAACAATTTTCTCGGACTTGCTATTTATGTTTCATAATCATCCAAAATAAAAACAAAAAAAGATAATACCATTTTATTTGTATTTATAATTATTTAAAATAAGTACAATATGTACATGTCACTGAACATAAGTTGAGCAAAGCTAAAAGTTGTTACATTAAGTAGGTACCTACAACCATAATAAAACTGACACGTTCTTAAACTTTCATATAATTGTGACCGCAAATCAATTGCTGGATTTCACCCTCTCTCTAGATTTATGACAAACTACAAAGCAGGAGATAAATGACATGAAAAAATAAATGTCAAAAGAACTTCTTGAATTTCAAATGTGTTTACATGTAGAAAAGAGTACAAAAGTACACATATAAAATCGTAGGTAGTCTCTATTAGGAATGCTGCGGCAGTCCAGGTGCTAGTGGAGGTTAGTCGCAAATCCTACTTGTTTGAAAAGGCATTTGGATGTTGCAAAATGGATGGCTAACTAATTAAATTAGGTATATATGAAGATTTCTGTTTTGAAGCTTTTTAGTGAAGAAAAATACTGTAAACCTCTAATGGCTTTGAAAATTCATTTGCGTAATGTGGCCTAGTGCTTAAAAGCGTCCTTCAATTTTTGTTTAATTATTAATGAGAAGAAATGGCAACACCAAATGTTAGACATCATTGGGGGAAATTGCAAAATGTTTTATTGCATGCAACATTTTACTGTGCTTTGAAATATATTTCTTTGAATTTATTGGTATGGATGAATACAGGAAAACTAAATTTTCATATTTAATTTAGGGTGGGGTACAATTTAATTTTCTATTTAAAACATTGCATCTATATAATGTACTGCAGGTTCTCCTTTCATAAAATTTAATCTCCACTTTATTTCACATCAGCAAAACAAATATTTCCCATGAATATTGACCTATTTGTTGAAATTTCAATTAGCCAACTGATGTGCACTGGGAAAGCCCTAGCAATGGGGAAAGTTTTATGAAGACTTTTCTATAAAATTATAAACTTGATTTAAATCCAGGATAGGCAAAACTATAATGTCAAGTGTTAATCTTGCTGTCTTGGGAACTTTGCATTCAGTGTCTTACAATGTCAGCTATTGGTCTTTTAACTCTATCTTTCATAAGCTCTAAGAATTAAGCAAACTTTGGAAGAGTAATAGTAAATAATTTAAACATGTAAATGATCTTGACTTTTAATAAATCAAAAGCCAGTCTCCAATGTTAATATTAAAATTTGCCTCTAAGCTACTGTGCTTGAGAAACAGAAACTGAAGGAGAATAGTTAGCCTGGATCTAAATGTCCATTTTGTAATAGACTAAAACAGAACTTTCTGTAACCTGTTACCCTAAGGCCTGCATTATTTTAAATCTGTACAGAGTTGTTAATTTCATCCTTCAGTCAAGACTAGGCCTGGTAAAAAAAACAAAACCTGTTCTGCTTTATTTGTTTTCTTAAAACGTGTCATGGAATTCGAAATTAGAGAATGATAAAATTGAAAAAAAAAAAAGGTGAACAAAATTGGTCTTAAAACAAACATGAAAATCTGCAGTGCATGGTGAGCATCCCTGTCCATGGAAAATATATCTGTACAGCTCTCTGAAAGAAGCTCTTCACAGTCAAGAAGGCCATTCTCTTTCAATGTTGCTGGCAAAAGTTTCTGATCATCCTTGGAATTACTTTAGGAGGAAGGTATGGATATATATTTGTTTTTCAATCCATTCAACAAAGTATGAAACATTGCTATACACACCAGGCCCCAGGACTTTGGAAAAGCAGACAGAGCCCCATGAAGTTAAACCAAATAAAGTCCACAGTCCTCCAGATTGCTCACAAACAAGAGGCCCACCACTGTCACCCTGTAATGAAAAGAAAAGGAATTTAGTTAGTGGGATTCCAGAATCCCAATAGCATCTATGTCTTCATAAGGGTATAATAAAGCCAAATCTGCCCAGCTTAACCAACTCCTTGGAAATTTTTAACAAAGCTCTCATTGTCAGTCTGTGGAAGGAGCATAGTTTCCACTGTGTGAATGCAACTTTAAAATGATTAATTCTGATCTTTAAGAGAATGGGATTAGCTTGGGAAAAGAATGCATTTTTGCCCTGAACTCAGAAGACATTTTTTAGTCATTTACTGACTTACCAAAATATGTCATAAATTATAAATAAAATATGTATAATTTTATGTATCAGAACTGATGATCTCTTAACTCATTTTGTAAGAATGATTTATCATCTAACTATAAAAAGTACCCCAAACGGAAAATATTTATTTTCCTTTATACTATAGGTACTACAAAAACATTCTAAAATATTTGTATTTTCATAATTCTTGCTATGTGAAAGAACACATTAAAGCATTACACATTTGGGGGTCCCTTAATTGTACTTCCTAATAGTCCTTAAGACTTTAAGGATTATTTACAGTGACATACCTCATTTATTTATACCCTGTGTTTTATTCCATATGCATAGAGGTTTCATCCTTTCTATTTAAATTTAGGTATACCAAATAAGTTTTATTCAGTTATTTTCCCCAAATATAGTTAGCCTCAAAACACCATAGCATTACAGATATTAATATTGCTGCGTCTGAAAAGATCATAGTTGGTAAGAGAGCGGTATCCTGCACTGCCTCAAAAGAGAGAAGTAGATGCCATTAAAAAAATAAAGAAGAAAGTAAATTTATTGTGGAATGTTTGAAATACTACTTTCCCTGTGAGATTTTCCAACTTCAAATGTGTCTGTGGGCTTCCTTCCTTGTAGAATCAGAGAATAATAGAGAAAAACATGTTTATCAATGCTCTTCTAAATACTTTTCATGTATTAACTCATTTTATCTTCACCAAATAACTAAGAATTGATACTTATTACTATGACGTCCATTTCAGAGATAATGCAACTAATGCACAGGTTAAACAACTTGTTCACTGACAGAGCCATGATTTGAACCCAGACAATCTGGCAACAGGGCCCCCTACCTCATGACTACCAGGTTATGCTGCTTCTTGAAAATACTACTGAATACTATTGCTATAAAATGGAAGTGAATTTTCTATTATGCTGTATGCTTTAGTGGAAGTGGTGACCTTTGCATTCATAACTTTTTGATGCCCTAAGTCTAAATAATAAGCATAGACCCTAAGAAGCTAAATAAAATTTTTTTTCTGCCTGAAACACTAATTGGAAAAATTTTTTAAAAAGGCAAAATTTCCTGGAAACATTTATTTTTCATCCCATCAATAAATGGGATAAATTCAAACTAAAAAGCTTCTTATCAGCAAAAGAAACAATCAGTGAGGTGAATAGAGAGCCTATAGAATAGAAGCAAATTTTTACCACACACACATCAGATAGAGCACTAATCTCTAGTGTACATAAAGAACTCAAAAACCTTAACACCAAAAACACAAATAACCCAATCAATAAATGGGCTGAGGAACTGAACAGACACTTCTCAGAAGATGATATGCAAATACATGAAAAAAATGTTCAACATCTCTAGCAATTAGAGAAATGCAAATAAAACTTCTCTAAGATTTCATCTCACTCCAGTCAGAGTGGGAGCTATTAAGAATACAAATAACAATAAGTGTTGGCAAGAATGTGAGGAAAAGGACACACTCTTACATTGCTGGTAGGACTGCAAATTGGTGCAAGCAATATGGAGATTCCTTGGAAGACTAGGAATGGAACCACCATTTGACTCAGCTATCCCTCTCCTGGGTCTATACCCACAGGACTGAAAAATAACATACTACAGGGACACAGCTACATCTATGTTTATAGAAGCATAATTCACAATAGTTAAATTGTGGAACCAACCTAGATACCCTTCAGCAAATGAATGGATAAAGAAAATATGGTATATATACACAATGGAATATTACTCATCATTAAAAAAGAATAAAATCATGACATTTGCAGGTAAATGGATGGAGTTGGAGAATATTATGCTAAGTGAAGTAAACCAATCCAAAAAAAACCAAATGTTTTCTCTGATATGAGGATGCTGACCCATAATAGGGATGGGGAGGCGGGCATGAGAGGAACAGAGGAACCTTAGATAGGGTGAAGGGGACAGAGGGGAAGAGAGGGAGGAGGGGCATAGGAAAGATGGTGGAATGAGATGGACATCATTACCCCAATTACATGTATGAAGACATAAATGATGTGACTGTACTTTGTGTTCAACCAGAGACATGGAAAATTGTGCTCTATATGTGCATGATGTAAAATGCATTCTGCTGTCATATATAACAAATAAGAATAAATAAATAAACTTTTTTTTTTAAAAAAAAAAAAGGGAAAATTTCCTAGAAACATTTAGTTTTCAGTGCTGGTAAAGGAACTCAGGGCCTAGTGTGTGTTTGGTGAGTGCTTTACCACTGAATTGCATATCTAGTGCTCCTGGATACATTTTTATTAGACATATTTTCCCCAATTTTTTTACCTTCCCTTATATAAAGCAAATGCTAAGATGCTCAATTATTTATATTGAGCTCTTATTGTGCCAGATAATAATTACAATGGGACACATTTTGACATCAGTACCTCTTCATTTCCAGATCAGAAAATCAGCCTAATAATTACTTAGCAGCTACTCTGCAAGATTGTGGGCTAGGCTCCACATAGATAAAGGCATGATTTTTGTTCTAAAGTAGTCAAACATTTGCATGCATAGCAAGAATAACTTTACAGGAAAGCAAAATCTAAGGGATGTGAAGAGGACTTCAGAGGAAGGTGTAATTACTTTTCCAGGTGGAAATGAACAAAATTGCCTTCCTGAGATGGGTGTTTGAGTGAGGTTTAGTGAGTCAAGCAGGTGTTCCATTAGGTGGGAAACAGGGCGAAGAGCCATCGATTCAAACTGAAAGGGAGAAAACTGCTAAAGACAGCACTGGTCTAGTCTGCCTTCTGGATCCTCTGCTCTCATAAGATTGGGCTTTCGGCCAAAGTTGATGCTTGGCTTCAGTATTGATCAACATGATTAATAGACCTTCACAAAGGGGCCCATGCTGTTCAATGGGCCCTTGATGATGAGATTAAGGAAGATAATGTATGTCCTCTGATAGAGGGTTGGGTGAGCAAATTTGCTTCACTTCTGATAAAAAGTAATTCAGAACATACGGAATGCATTCAGGAGACTCACAGCCAAATTCCTATTACTAAAAAATTGGAAGACCTGGTTTGTATTAGTCGTCCTATCAATGTACCTGTGACTGGAAGTGTGTTTGGGCCTTTAATTCCCTTTCAAAGAATCACATCTCTTTACCAGGAAATGACCTTGAACATGTGCTAAGAAGTGCTACTTTGTGGTAATCCTCCAAACCACACTGGGGAAACGAGAAGTGTAGTCACGTTAATCATTGCTACTATGGTAGTACAGTGGCCGAGCACTTGTGTGCTGAAGCTAGACTGTCTGGGTTTCATAGCCTCACAGTATCATGCTGGGTGATCTGGGGCAAGTTACTTAATCTTTCTGCTCTCTTGTTTCCTTGATGTGTTTAGAAAAAATAATGATATGCCACATGGGATGATTATGGGAATTAAATGAGTTATTAGTATTTTGATGAGATCCTAGAACACAGTAAGCACTAAAGTGATAGATGAACATAATTACTATTAATTGAAAGTCTTTCACTAACAACTCAATTTATCCTCAAAACACTTCACTTTATTCATGAGAAAACTATATACAGAGGTTAGATGTCCCCAGATTACATTGTTCTTAACTGACAGAGGTGGAATTCAACACAGATCTTTCAGGTGCAAAGCCTATGCCCCAAGACCCATATCATGCTACCTCTTAAAATACTTTTATTTTTTGCACTAGAAAAGCAGCTCAGTGGTAGAACATTTGCCTACCATGCATGAGGCCCATGGTTTGAGCCCAGCGTCATAAAAATAAAAAGTTTTTTAACGATTTTTATTTTTATTTTTTGTCTTAGGAAATTACACCTGGACCTCTTGTACAGAATAAAAGAATTTTTCTACTATGGCCCACCTCAATTGGATGGCTCATAGTCATGTGGCAGAAAAGAGGGTGGCCTCAGTGAAACTCCAAAGAGCACCATCTCTCCCTGTGTCCCATGACTATTATCTAAGGAAATCACCACTGGGCTATTTCCAATCATCTGATTTTTTCCATCCTAACTTGGACCCATTAAAAATGTCATTCAATTATATTGGGCTAGTGATAATAGTGTTGTTATATCTCTTCTTCCATATTAAAATGTGGGAGGTAATGTGATCTACCAAAAAGCAGAGAAATAACAAGCGTTTTGTAGCAGTGTAGTAGACTATGTTCTCCACTCTGTTACAAGCTTCGAGCACTTGCAATTTTCCTCCTTCTCTTGGAGCAAGTCCAGTCAATGAATGTTTAAATAAAAAATGAAAATGATTCCCTGCACTGCTAGGCTGGTGTGCTCCACAACCTGCTGTGGCCAGGAATATGGGTGTCTAAAGATCACGTCAGTGTCATTTGAGAACAAGCTGGTAATCAAATGGGAGCCACTAGAACCCAGAAAATGCCACTGTCACTACTCCTAAGACAAAGGCAGTCCTGTTACACACTCTAGAAGGTAAGGTGTTGATATTTACCCAAAAGCCATCATCCTAATGGCTGGCAATGTCCTCTGGTGCCCTCCTGCTCCCTGAGATAGTCAGGTTGAAGCTCTGGTTACTATTTGCCCCTCTTCTATTGTTTGACCACTAAACACATCTGATGAGATGGACTGAAATTATTGTTTCCCCCCTGCTGCTGACCAAAGGTGTTATTCCCTATTTAGTAGTTGACAGAATTGAAGGCAACCTGAACAAAGGGGCTAGAGGTAGTTAGGGGCATGACTTGGGTACTGGATGGAGGAGGAGACACACTACGAATAATTAACACCTGGCAAAAATTATTTTAAAAATGTTCCCAAAGGATCATAAATGAATAATAATGAGTTTATGCAGGTTCACTGAAGTTATTGTTGAACTGAATCTCCTGGGCAACCAGAAAGCAATTTACCATGCATGAGTCCACCGTGCCAGACTCATAGCCAGCACATATCATCCGGTTGGTGATGGTCTTCATGTCAAAGTAGGACTGGCACTGTTCCAGAGAAATAATACGGACCTCTCCTTCTTGCAGCTTAAAAGGCACTGGATTTAAAAAAAAGAAGAAGAAGAAATAAAGATATTTAAGATTTGGTAAAATGACTCAAAAGTGAAGCTAGCTAAATATGAAATATCATATGAACAATGTCATATCAAAAGGACCATATTATTTACTTGAAATGTCATTTCAAAGACAAACCTTATTCAAAATCAGAATTTTCTAATTAGAATATCCATAGCAATCAAAGAGGGTTGGGGGTGTATCTCAGTGGTAGAGTGTCCCCAGGTTCAATCCCAAGTATAGCAAAAGTAAATATTCATGGCAGGCGTCTGATGAAATCTTTTCGTTTTGAAAATGAGGAAATTGAGGCACCGACTAGTTAAATAACTGGCTTGTACTTTTCCCTTCTTGTTCTATACTGTGACAAACAGCAGCTACTCCAATGAAAAGGGGCAAAAGCTGGCAAAGGTAGGAGGCTGCCAGCTCAGCTTCTGTGAAGCAATCAGCCCTGCTCTGCAGCAGTGGCAAAAGCCTGTTAAATCAAACAGAGGAAACATCTCACCATGTGCTTCACTGGCCATTATTTGGATGTGAGAACATTTAATCCCAGGGGATATGACAGAGAGATGTCCAAAGGACAAAGCATCCCTTGGTGTTAACAGAGAGAATATATGAATTTCATCATGCTTGAAAGTTCTCGCAGAATAATAGTGGATTCCTTGACGCAAAACAGCATGAATCTTTTGCCATTTGACCATTCTACAAAATCAGACACATTTGAGTTTAAACAGTGATGGGAAAGTAGCATGTATGTACAGGGTGCATTCTTGGAAGAAATAATCATTCTTGGAAAAAATATTATCAGGAAAATAGAGGATGTGTCCTGAGTTGTCAAAAGAACAATAAGAATAAGAACAATAGGTAACACTATTGGGTACTAATGGTAGTCCCAGAGCATACCCTCACTTCTGGACCTTATCCCTTTTTAATTTTTACAAATATCCTGTGCGTTAGATAGTGTTATTATTTTTTTTCATCTTGTAATAAACTAGAAAGCAGTGCAGTAAGAGTCAATAAGTACTATCTAAATGAGTTCACTCTTGCTCCTCATGCTATATTGCCTATTTGTGAGCAATGCTACACTATTGATATAAGTTTGATATGGATATTGTTGGAAGAATAAAACCAAAGGCAATATAAAGCATATTCTACCCTTGTACTATGTTTCAGGACTAATCAGAACTTTAAAAAACCAAGATGGGAAAGAATGATGATATTATATGTCTAACGTTGCCTTTAAAATTCTTATATGTGAGCTTTTTCTGAAAAAAAATCATTGACTTTTGTCTATTGCTTTTCCTTTCCATCATTTGATATAGATTTCCATCACTTCATATAGAAATAAACTCAACTTAGCTCAAAATGAATTTGATTAAATTTCAAGAAAAAAAAGTGTCTTTAAATTGACATTTCCTAAGGTTACTAACAAGATGCAAATGTTCATTCATTCCCAAGAACCATGAAGTAGTTAGAACAGCCAGCACTTAAAGTCAAATAGAAAGTCTCATTGACTCAATTTGTATTCCAAACTTCAAACAGCTCAACCAGAATGAGTGATTTCTATAGGGGGTTGAGAATAAGTAGTACATTTTTAGTTTCTATTTGTTCTGTATATTTAAATTGTCTACAGAGACAAACTATTTCAATCAATTTAAATTTGTAAGTAGCAAATCAAGTTTCTTTATAGAAGGACTTACAGGTTGTGCTACAGATGTAGATAAGACCAAATCATGACACCAAGTTGGAAATGTGACTGTACAGCTTGACTGAAGAAATGGAATTGCCTACCTGCTCCACAGAGCTTCAGAGGAGCTTTACCCACAGATGGACCAAATCATTATTAGAGTCAGTCCAAAGCAGGATGATTGATAGGTCCCATTTGGCATGGCAACTCCAAAACCCTGGTAGTGGCTTCTTGGAGAGAAAGTCTGCGGTTTGCAGGATTTTGAGGCTGCATCTGAACTAGGAGGTTTAAGTGCCATGGTTTATTATTCATGTCAACAACAGGCATGGAAGGGACCGTGTGACATGCCATTTGTGGCTGTATTTCCATAAACAAAGATAGGGAAATGTGTTGAAAGGCTAGGAAAAAACAGTGTGTTTGCTTACAAGTTGAAAGGCAAATGCTACTGATGAGCCTGGCTTACTTTTGTTGCCCATGTGGCCCCAGCCTGTGATATAGCAGTATGTATCTGGTTCCAGAGACTGCTCCGGGCTGGGTAAGCAGACAGGTCGGACATAGCTCGTCTCGTGGATGTCTTCACTCAGCTCCACAATGCTGATGTCATAGTCCACCACTGCTCGACTGTAGCGGGGATGCAGGACGATGGTCTTCACGAAGCGTGTCTGCGTGAACGCGGATGGGTGGTCCAGGTTGTTGATGCCAAACACCACCTTCCACACAGCAGCGCTCTCTCGCCTAGGATGGAAATTCAAGAGCAAGTGACATCTTCAACTCTAATTCACCATTCTAACACCATTCTAATTGCATAGCTGTTTTTTTTTAAGTATTTATGTAAAAAATGGCTGTTTCCTTGCCTGTCTCTGAATGTATTCATAGAAGTATTCATTTAATGGTCTGAAAGCAAAGCCCAAGCTTTTTGATGGACCTTTATTTTTTTATTTATTTTTATGTGGTGCTGAGGATTGAACCCAGGGCCTCACACGTGATAGGCAAACGCTCTACCTCTGAGCTACAACTCTAGCCCAAAGGCCATTTTTGAATGCAGTTATTCTTGAAAATACAACTTGTTCAGGCTTAAAGGAAGGCAGAGTAGTTACTTTTCTTTTTTTAATTTATTTTTAATGAATGAGAAAGATCACTGAAATCCAAGAAAAGACAAGAGCAAGTGGAAAAGAAGGAGAGAAAAGCCAAGAGATACCACCAAGAAACACCAAGTCCTGGGAGAAGTGCCAGGGTCTCAGGGCAGCCTTCTGCTCATTTCAAGGCAGGGGTTTTAAAAGGTCCCTCACAACCTCCAGCGCTCAGTATCAGACTGTTGTTTTTTGATGTCATGTCAGCAATCTTTTATTCAATTCTCGCCTTTAAATGCTTTCTTCACTCAGCTCATAGGTCTTGCCATGCTCCAGAATCTCCTCCAATCTCATAGACTCCCACTGGCTCAATCTTCTCTTCTGAGTTCTTCCCAGCTCTCAGTGTCAGTGTTGAAGTGCTCTGACACTCCACCCTCAACCTTCTCTTCTTGTTCCATACTCCCTTGATGGTTTCATCTAATCCAGTGGTTTTAAATACTACCTCAAACCCTGGTGACTCCTAAATATATAGCACCAGTTCCATCCCCTATCCTGACCTGCAGCCTGGAAAGCCCAGTTTCCTATTCAACACACTCACGTGGAGTGTGGGAGGCTGCCCTGCCCATGGGCTGAGCATCCTCTCTCAGCCTTGAGTAAGGCAGGTGTTTGGTCTGGCATCGAATGACATGCACTGTGCAAAACAAGTAGCCTCCACCTTCACTCGGCAAAGAAGTTTGCTCTAGCCCTGGACTTGGGCGTTATCCAATGGGATTGGACAAATCTCCCTTTTGAAACCCTATCCCCTGCCTTATTTGGTGAAGAACATTCCATCGAAGCTCCTTTGTGTGTCCCCCCTATAATATAAAGAGATTCCAGGAGCACATTCTCTTTCCAGTGCTGTCCTGCGTGGAAGCTGACCCTTAAGGTTGCAGAGCTGTCCTCTTGACATGAAAACTACTTTTGTGTTATGTGATTTCTCACCATTTTCTTAGTTTAATGTTGCAGCCAGGTCCTTTGAACCCTGTTCATCTCATCAGTGTGGGCATTTGGTGAGAATGGTGTTTGATAATAGCCACCATTTATTGAGGCTTACCACATATCTTAGAATGTTTAAGCATTCAGAATTAATTTTACAGCATTTTGATATTTACAATCTCTAGTGGCCCAGTTGAATCATCTCTTTCTCTTACACCCAACATTAAATGCATCAGCCAATCTTCTCCATTCCTATTTTCAAATATGTCCAGCATCTTGCTGTTTCTCCCTCTCCACTGTAAGATACTTCTCCACCTAAGGTACTCTCATCTCCTTGGACCACTGCAGTCAACTCCCAAATGAAGACTCTTCATCTAATCTTAGCTCCTATGACTCATTTTCCTCAGAGCAGTCAGAGTGACCTTTTAAAAATAAAATTAGATCAAGTTCATCTCCTGCTCATATTTCTCTAAGGACTTTATATCACACTTGAGCTAAATTCTAGACTTCCATCCCTGGCCTCTGAGACTCTACACAGTATGCTGCATTTCAACCCCAAGGACTTTCTATTTTGGGACATGCTAAGGACATGTGCCTATCAGAGGTCCCCTTGCTGTTCCGCCAGCTCTCAAATGACTTCCACCTATACTCTTTCTCTTCAACCTGCGTCACTTCCTCAACACTATTTTCCCTAGTCACCCTAACTCTTCCTCTATCCTCATCACTCTCTCTACACTTGACCCTGCTTCCAGTTTCTTCTCATAGTGTCCATTAATGTCAATGACACTGATACATTTGTTTTTCTATTTTATCTTGCCTCTCAGGTGTTATCTCTGTGACAGCAGGAACTTTGTTGGTCTTGTTCACTGCGATATTCACAGGGTCTAGTGCTAGTCATGCAGTGGGTTCTCAAAAAGTATCAAATGATGGTTCCATGTAAGTTGTTTTAAAACATGTGTTAATGGCAGACTCCAACTATGTGAGCAAGGTTTATTTTTCATCACTTCCTGTATGTCCTCCTCCCTTCACCATCTTCCCTCTCCAAGTGAGCCAAGGTCAAAGGCACGGATGTTTGTTGGACCATAATGCTGTGAATGGGGTGAAGCTTTAATGTGGACACTCCCTTACACTATGGTACTGTGAGTCAGCATGAGAACACTGCCCTAATTTGGGAGCTTGTGACCAAATCAACCAAAGTAGGTTAACTCTTCAATCCACATTTAACATGGAATCAGCTGGAAAGATTTTGAAATAGTAATACTTTGGGCATCAGCCTATAGCAACTGAAACAGAAGCCCTTGGGCTGGGATCCTGGAATCTGTGTTTTTTAAGGGCTATCCTTTCTATGGTATCTATTTAGTCACCTTCAGCATGACAGCTACCCCAAAGCTGAGACTTCAAGAGGCCCAGAAAATAGGAGCCAACACTTAAGACTCAAACTGAACTTAGTATTGTTAGATATTTAAACCATACTCTACTAAAGAGCTCCTCCACAAAGTGATGCATTCTGGACTTTTTCCATTTTAGAGAAAAATACTTCAGAGCTATCAAAAGAAAAGTTGATGACTTTAATTGAAAAAATACAGATCTGTAACTATTCCTATGTAGAAATATAAAAATAACAGAACTGAGTGCAAATGGATGATTAAATAAGCAATTACAATAAATTGCAGGAACTGCTATCTTGTGGGCATTACAAAACAATGTTACCGAATTAATTTTTACCACCTAGCTCCATCGCTCAACGTGTTTTTTCTCCTTCCTTCCTTTCTTCCATTTTCTTTCTTTTCTTTCCTTCTTCCTTCCTTCTTCCCCTGTTCCTTTAATTTTTTTAGTCTAAAGGAGTAAGTTCATGGCCATTCAAGAAATTTAATATTCACTTGAAACTCTATTACTTAAGATATTTAAAATTAAGCAATAAATCATTTCAAACTTCTGCCTATTTACTAATTTCTTGCTCTTGAACCAGAGCTGTTAAGTTTTGGTTGTGACAAAAACTCATTCATCTGCTTAATCATAAGCAACATTTCCAACAGTCACACATTCTATTTGCAACAAAATAAAATAACAACAAAATTCCAGACTTAATTACCGGATTCGGGGTTAATTTCTACTAATAAATAATGAGTGTCAACAAAGCAGCTAAATGTTATTCATTTGTATCCAATAATCTCTTGCTACATAAGCTACTGTCCTGATGGCATTAATATACACCAAAAGCAAAAAAGAGAAAAGTGCACAGGAAATTAGACATTTTTTAAAATTCAGTGATATTGTTCTTTTTTTTTTTCTTTTTGTTATGAGTATGAAGTGAAAAATAAGCTTCTTTAACATTTTTTTTTCACAAGTCTGGGAAAAAAACGTGGAAACCAGCCTGTTGTTTGAAAGGGTTGTCTGAAGTAAAGGAGATGTGCATAAATGATACATTGTTATGTGAAGTATGTGCTAGGGAGAGTGAGTCAGAAGTAAAGGCAGAGACAGCTCTGTCTGTAGTTAGAAGCAAAAAAAAAAAAAGGAAGACAATTTGAGACATCAATTTCCTATCTGGTCAGGAGAACCCAGGGGAGAAACACAGAGAAACAAGAGATGAATAAATGAATGGCCATTTTGGTAAGAAGAGTCTAATTTACATTCGACTACAAAGAAAAAAGTCAGGTACATTAGCTAAAAAGCCTCAGCATAGGAATACTTCCCACTTGGCTGTCAAGCCTCAAAGCAGGAACAAGGAGAATTGGAATATTCTTAAAGGAGTTTGTACAAAGATCTTAATGCTTTTAAGAGTGATCAAGCAAGCACAGGTACAGCCAGGCAACTCTATCCACAACCACATGAAAGTGGCTAAGAAAGATGTTTAGAGGAATCTTTTTCCTTTCACTCTCGCTCTAGATATAGTTCATTCCCTAAAATTCACATTTAAGATCTCATTTGCTTAATGTTTATGCTATTGTTTTATATGCATATATGTCATAGAGAATTATCAATTCCAAAAATAAAACCTAGCTATTTACACATCTCAGATGCACTATTGCATTCCAAGAAATTATACAACACATTGTAGGTAGAATGTCTGGATGCAATAACCTGTCACTTTGATTTGCAATTTGCCACACAAAACTCTAGTTGAGACATGAAATGTTGTATTTTCACTTAATTCAGCTAGCCAAATTTCCTTTTTAAGTCTATTCTTTTTGTTTATATGTGTAATACAGGGGATCAAACCTCAGGCCTTATGAATACTAGGCAAATGCTCTACCAAGTGGTAGAGATTACATCCTTAGTTCCAGAGAGCCAAATTTAGAGATTTTCTATCTTTATTTCAGGAGCACAATATTTTCCTTCCTTGACCCTTTCCAGTTTAGCTTGTTTGTATATTTAACATTTTTCCTTTTTAATGAGGGAAAATTAATATTCATAATTAACACATGATAGAAATCACCCTATTTCACAAGACCTACTTCAGAAGAAGCATAACTGAATGGTGATTTGGAGAGTCTGAAGAAAGAATGGTTATTTGAGAGAGTCTGCACTAAGAAAAGAAATATATTATAACATCACTGCTGTTCTACAAATCAGTGATCTCTTACTTTTAATATTGTGCTCTGCCCTTAGAATTTTTAAAAAGAATTATCTGTAACAGACAAGATGAATAGACTTTAGAATAAGGTGGCTGCAAAATAAATTCATGACAGG